AGCTAAGCTAGTCAGATTTTTTCAGCCTAGTCAATGTTATCTTGATTGGTTTACCTCCTTACCGATTTCAGCCAGTCAAGCTAGTCAGGTTTTTTCAGCCTAGTCAATGTTATTTTGATTGATTTACCTCCTTTACTGACTAGAGTTATAAAGTGAAAAAAAAAAAAGAGTAAAAATTGAATTACCTAGCAAATCAAGCTCCCTTCTCAAATGGGATCTATCCATATAGGCAGAAAGAGCTCGGCTTGATCCCTTTTTGCAGTACATGAGGCAAAGAATTATCCAGAGGGCAATGAAGATTACAATAGCCAAAGGGAAGCCAAAGAACAACCAAGTACTGAAGGTAATAGGATCAGCCTGGGGAAAATAGCTCTTCCACATCCCCACCAATATAAGGTTCACGCCCGTCCCTGTAAGCGTGCTTATCCCGCCCACCGCCGCCGAGTACGTAACTCCCAGAACAACAGCTTTGCAGAACTTAGTCACCAGGCTCGACTGCCCAAGATCCGCCGGCAGCCGCTGCAAAACGCCCGTCGCCACCGGCATCATCAGCATCGCCGCCGCCACGTTGTGCATCCACATGCTCACAAAGAACGTGGTCCCGCATATTCCCAGGAGGAGCAACGGCGGGTTCAGCGGATCCCCGCTGAACATAAGCGTTATCTGCATATATAGTTTGGTTGAACTAAATAATTAGAAGTTATTATTCAATCAGACTCAACTCATGTTATATCATCAAAGTATAAAATTATGAAATTTCCGACCAACATAAAGTAGAAAGCAAAAAATAGTCAGGCAACAAAGATTTTTCCAGATACAAAAGTGGTCGGAAAAAGAGATCACTTTCAGGTGGTCGGAAATTCTATAATTTCCAGTAGTATATATATATATATATATATATATATATATATATATATATATATATATATATATATATATGAATTAACAGTACTCACATTCAAAGCTAATCTCCGGTGAATGTTATAGTGCTCCACGGCGAGTGCCAGAATGAAACTGCCAAGAACCAGGGCAATTACGTCATCCATGTACGACTGCGCCACCTCATCCGCCGTGGCGATCCCAAAAAGAGGGAAGAGGAAGAGCGGCGACATGGAGGTGACCGGCATCGGCACCGCCTGCGTCATCCACCAAGCGAAGACCCACACCATAACCGCCAGCATATTCCGGCTAGTGACGGCGGCGGCGGCGGACCCGTCCAGCTTCACAAACGCGCAGATAAGACCACATAACAGAGGTCCCAACAGAATGAAAAAATTGCTCGGCGTGAAAATGGAGCGTGCGGTGGTTCTGAAGCTTCGCGACTTGTGTATAACTGGATCTTCAAGAGGAAGAAGGGGCGCTTTGGATTCATTTACAGCTTCTTGGTTGTTCATTTTGGAATGGGAAGAGCAGACGAAAAGATGGTGAGAGTTTCTGTTTTTAGAAATTGGTAGCGTTTTGGAAATACGTGTATGAATGAGCCCCAACCATGGGTGTTTATATAGTCCGACATTATATGAGTTGTATTTCTATTTTCTAATGTATTTTTTCAACCTAGGAAAAGTAGTACTACTATACAATTTGTATTTTGATCGTTTTTGAAAAAAAAAAATATTATTTTTATTATATTGTATTTTATTGTTTTTAATACATCTTTTTATCCACAACAAATTACTCACAATAAACTTGTGTGATTAGAATTCCTAAAAACAAAGAGAGAGAGAGAGAGAGAGATTTGTATATTTGTATTCCATTGCCATCTTGCCCCTTGGGAGAGGCAAAGATCGAGTTGATATTATGGGTTTGGAAGGTAACGTTGGATGAGGAGGAAAATGGCCGATAAGTCGCTTTCAATAGGAGTCGAACATGTAACATTGTGGATACTAATAAGTTAACAATATAACCAACTTAATTGAATTGTCCATTGACTGGTAATTTTATTAATAGTGTAATAGTAAATATTGTACAAATTAAAAAAATCATGTTCAAATATATATTTTTTACATGAATATTTTATTTGTGTTAGGATAATTCAAAAAGTTTTCTTTAGTAAGCTAACAGTTTTGAGCAGTTGATTAACGAGCCGGCGAATGGCTAATACAAAACAAAGTTAGAGGAACCACAGATATCTTTATTTTAGAGAATTAAAGAATATTTACAGGCAAAGTGTATATATCATTGATGTAATTTATATTTATTGGTTGCATATCAATTAATTAATTTCACATACTTTTACTAAAAAATCCAAACAGACAATACTATGTTAAGATAATAAATTATGAAGCAGAAAATTAAGGTTGTTCCCAGTCACTACAACTTGGATCCATGTGGCAAATGTAATAATGGATATATGACGAAAAATCGAAGATATCTGGTTTTAGTTTTTTTCTTCTTAATTTTAAAATTGTGTGGCGTGGATATATATGACAGACATGTGGCCTGTGGGCAGGATAACGATGGGAAGCTGATTTGTGGCAAGAAAATGACAACTGTGTATTGAATGGGAAATTTGTATATAATTAATGAATTATTATGAATAAATTAATAGTTGATGATTAAATTAAAAAGTATATGACGTAACCAAATTATAATTTCAAATATAATCTCAAATTATTGATTAACTCAAAGGATTGGATGCGTGTCTCTTTTGTGCATTGACACGTACATGTATTTATGGGTAAAAATTTCGAATTGTTAATTATGGATTAGTGAATTTTTAAGGAATGAGGGGATGAGAATTGAGATCATTTGGGTGGTTGAGTTCCAATGATGTTTATCTAATATCGGACTGTCCAGGTGGCATGGATTTGTGGTTCAAAAATATTAGTGAAATTTATTACAATAATATTTTTTATATTTATATACAAACTTTATATAATTATTAATTATTATATTGTTCGCAAATTTCACACCTATTACTAACTGAGCTGTTCATGTGGATTTAATTATTATATATAATTATTGATGGTTGAATATAGGTGTTAAGTATTAAAATAATAAAAGTATGAAATGATTATTTACCAATAGAGCTTTTCAATAATTCGTGGATATTAGTGTTTGATGAAATGTTGAAATGACAAGCTAATGCCATGTGGCAAGTGGCGAACCAAGTCATGTGGACAACAAGAATGATCAAAATGTGACAAGCCAATAATGCACTTATTTTAGATCGACAGAAATGATTTCTTTGTTTGTTTGCTTGATATTTTTTTTTCTTGAGGCTAGAAGCACTAATGCAGGAAATTTGATTTAAAAACCCTTGGCAAATTGGATATCATTTTTGTTATTGATTGGGTGATGAAAAAGAAGATGGATTGGTGATGCATATTGGAAACGAAGACATAAAAAGTTTACCTTATCAAGATAGTGAAACATAATTATCGCACTATAAAATTATAAGTTCAATTATTGTCAATATTATTATATCTGTCAATATTATTTTGATATAATGTCAAAATATAGAGCGAAGGTTTTCATCCGGAAGTTGCGCGCTGTTAGCCGGTGGGCTGCCCGTGCTATCCCTGCAAAGTGGTGCCCAGAGATGAGAGTGTTGGCGCGGCGTTGCAGAAACTTCGTCCCTTTCTGCTCAGCCTATTATTATCATTTCCTTTGCAGTTTCCAAGAATGGTTGTGGGGAATGGGGATATGATATCCCTTGAAGACTGGTTTTTGGATTACGGAATTTGGGTCAATCGGATATCGCGTGATGGCTATATGTTTTAGTCACAAGTCAAAGGGGAGTCGTTATGCTGTGGACTCGTGCCCAGCGTGCATCATGGGCACCGGTATCGGTGCCGTCAGACACCGTTATCTTTCCTTTTTTTTTTTAAAAAAAAAAAAAAAATTTCAAACCGCTTCGTTATAGGAGCATATATTTATAGTTTTGTGTTCATAATTTCATAACTGTACATTCATAATTCCGTAACTGTACATTCATAATTCAATAACTGTAAATTCATAATTTTCGAAACTCTATGCTCATAATTGTAAGTTCATAATGTTAGAGTTCTATGTTCATAATTTCATAACTGTACATTCATAATTCCATAACTGTACATTCATAATTCCATACCGAACATTCATAATTTTCGAAGCTCTATGTTCATAATTGTAAGTTCATAATTCCATAACTGTACATTCATAATTCTATAACTATACATTCATAATGTCATAACTGTATATTCATAATTTCATAACGAATATGCCGTTAACGGCGTTAACGGCCTTTCGAACAAAATTTTTTTTTTTTTAGTTAAAACAGCGTCGTTTTCAGTGAAAACGACGCCGTTTTAGCGCCGTGCGCACCTTGCAAGGTGCGCATGTGCGCATAGCATAATTTGCCGTCAAAGGGTGTATACTTTAATTTGTAGGTTAAACTCAAGCATGAATAACCAACTTGGTGGACCAAATTTATTAAAATTGTATAGTTAAGATACTTAAATTGTTTATTTTTAAACAAGATTTCAATAGTCATTGGATTAAAAGTATAATTTTTTCTTATTAATTGTATTAAGAATATTCAGTAATGAATTGAAATATAATATGCTAACCATTTCGTGCGAAGAAGATAAAGAAAATCAATCTATTGAGACATTAATTGATTGAAATTTGGATTTACTAACTATGTAGCCATGCGCAAATTATTTTGTGGACCTGGGTCCAGTCTAAATATTCACAATTTACCTTTTAAAAGTTCATAATTTGTATACTACGAATACACAATGTTAACGTATATGTAATTGATTAATTTATTTTGTATTCACGAGTTCTTTTCAAATACTACAGTCACACGATATTAACAAATTATGATTTGATGACTATGTATTGTATTCACAAATTCACTTTATACAACTGTTATGTGTTTTGACTTAGAAACACAATTTATATTCTAGCAGTTCAGGTTGTTATACTGTGGACCATGGTCCATAATGCTATGTAGACCATGATTGTCAAATGAAACTGTAGTATAATTAAAATGATATTTTAGTGTTGCTAAAATAAAACTAGTGTGTGTGATAAATGAAACTAAAAACAGAGCTCTTTCAACTACGTATTTGTCAAATGAAATTGTAGTATAATTAAAGTGATACTTTAATGTCGTTAAAATGAAACTAGTGTTTGTGGAAAATGAAACTAAAATTCAGAACCATACAATAACATATATTATCAAATGAACGTGAAATGTAATTAAAATAATACTTTAGCATTATTATAATTAAACTCGTGTGTGTGGAAAATAAAACTACAAAATAGAGCTCATATAATAATATATATTGTCAAATGAAACTATAGTCGAATTAAAATGAATGATACTTTGGTATTACTATAATAAAACTAGTGTGCGTGGAAATTTTTTTGAATGCTACTAGCTCTATTACATTGTAGTAGATGTTCATATACTTTCTCAACCTATTGAAACACAAAAAGCCAATAACGCCTCCACTGAGGCTCAAACTCATAACGCCTCCACTGAGGCTCGAACTCATAATCTTCCAAATGGAAATCCAACCCAGGTACCATTAGACCACATAATCCTAATAGTATATGTAAAAAATGAAATTGAAAAACATAACAATATTATCAAATGAAACTAAAGTGTAATTAGAATGATACTTACTTCATGGACCATACTACTACATAGACCATGGTCCACACAAAAATGATTGCATGACTACTACCATGACGGCAGGCTAAGAAGAATAACCAATCACCTTCTTTTATACATCGGGTGGTAAATTATTATATGGACCCAGGTTCAAATTTACACAATTTACATACTAAATGTTCATAATTACCTTTAAAAAATTCACAATTTGTGATAACCCTGTATTGTATTTACAAATTCTCAAAACTTAGAAACACAATTTATATTCTAGATGTTCACAATTTCAATACTAAAAATACACTCCGTACAATTTAGAATAAGGGTCCACTGTGCAAGGTAGACCCTGGTCCATACTATAACAACTGACATTGGATTATTTGGGCCATCATGCTAACTGTTTGGGCCTTATGCCTTATTCATATGGGCCTTCGTTGGGCCTTTCTACCCATCATTTAACCTGTAAATCGTTCTTTAATTTTTCTTTTTCGTTACTTTGCATTATAACTAGAGTAAATACCCAAAATGGTCCCTCGACTGTAGTTAAATTCACAAATTGGTCATCAACTTTTAATTTCAACCAATTAAGTCCTTAACTTTGTAATTTTGACACGATTTGATCCTCCATCTATTTGACCGTTTGTTGACCGTGATCGACAATCTCCAGAAGAATCTTCAGCTCTCGTCGGAGCACGTGGTGGCCTCCCGGATAATGTTGCACTGGTTCGGAAACACGTCTTCTTCTTCGCTCTGGTACGAACTCAACTATATTGAATCCTAAGGGAGGATGAAGAAAGGCGACCGGATTTGGTAGATTGCTTTCTGCAGTGGATTCAAATGTAACAGTGCGGTCTGAAAATGCAACCAGAACCTTAAAAAATCGACGATGAACCATGAAATTACGTATATATCCTCAAAAATCACAGTCAACAAACGGTCAAATAGACAGAGGACCAAATTGTGTTAAAATTACAAAGTTAAGGACTTAATTGGTTGAAATTGAAAGTCAAAGACCAATTTGTGAATTTAGATATAGTTGAGGGACCATTTTGGGTATTTACTCTTATAACTAAATAAAAGTTATATTGCCTTGCTTTCAAAAAAAAAAAGAAGACAATTTACAAAAAATTATGTAAGTTATGTGTCCTAATAATAATAAATTACAAATAAAATTTATCTTTATAGTGATTTACGTAAATTATATATATATATATATATATATATATATATATATATATATATATATATATATATATTATAACATTTACAAAAAATTATATAAGTTATGTGTCCAAAACTCAAAACTCATTTATATTGTGAAATCACTTACAAAAATGAAACGTTAACATAAAAATTGTCTGAGTATTAAGATAATTAGATATGTTCCGAAAGGAATGGTAGAATGAATGAAAAATGATTATCGTAACAATTATACATATTAAAGCAATCTAGTTAAATAACATATATTTTTATTATTACACATATTGAAGTTATGTAGTTAACAAATGTAAAAATTTGTGTGAGGCACTTTCAGGTGAATATGAAAATGTAATAATTATACTGAAAAATGTAATATTTATATTTACATTATTCTTTACTAGTATTTTTATTTGTGCGATGTACATAATGGATTTGTTATAATATATTAAGAATATTTGGATCGATATACAATTATTTAAATTATAATATAAAATATATAGTGTAATTGAAGATATGGTTTGTGTCGTTTATGTTTGTTGATGTTATCATTGCTTGAATTCAAGCAAATAATTGCTCAATTAATAGCTAATGTCTAGATGTACGCATGCAGTGCTATAACTTTAGAGATTTTTATAAATTGGACAAATGTGCTCGTTCTCTAGCAACTTAGTTATAGTAATCAATTGCTATCATAATTCATTTGTATATAGGATATATTTTTTGTCTAGATATATAACAATTATATCATTTTGGGTAAAAAAAAAATACATAATATCATCGATTGTATTTACACATTATTGAAAACCTCTTTGTAAACAACATTGGTAGTCGCAACACAATCTTGTCCATGATCGTCTAGAGCTAACACCTTCAGACCATCAGAATGGGTGACTCGGGAGAAAGCCACGTACAATTGTCTGTGATTAAATACCAATTTTTTTAGCAATAACCCAACGTGAGTTAGTGTTTGACCTTAGCTTTTGTTGATAGTCATGGCATATGCAAGCATCAACATGAATTGTTTACACTGGAACTTGAAGGACAATCTCATATCATAAGGAGTGAGAGGCATTCTGGGGATAAGAACTTTGGTTCCTTGATGTGTCCCATTAACTATTCTTGTTTCGACAATGTGATCTGTCAATCTTGTGATGATGAGCCGCGTCTCTTACAAAGACCAAGAGAGTAGTCTATGTTCCGCAATAACATAACAGGTGCACCGACCTTTAATGTAAATGAATGATTATTAACACCCTACAATCTCAAACTATTTAAGAATTCAGGAGTGTGTACTTCTGATAAATTTTCACCGCCTAATTTGGCCTTACACAAAGAGTCACAACTTAAATATGTTCGACCTTCTGCAGTATTCATATCGCACATGTACTGATTAATTTGATCAATGACATCTAAAGTCGGTGAGAGGATCGCTCGGCCTTCTAAGTGCGACTCATTAAGCATGTCATATCTCACGCTTGGGAATGTGCTTTCCACTATAGTTGCTACGAGATCGGGTCCACACTTCAACATAAATCGTGCTGGAATATCGATCTTAGACAAATCGTCTTTTACAACCCTTGTAATCCCATATCTGATGTCTGCAATCCATTTTGAAAACCAATCAACTGTAGGTTTATCAGTGACCTTCCTTTGAAAATTGTAGTCAATATATACTATTAATTTTGTAATACAAATGGGATTCTAATATATTACTTACCATACATTAATCTATACTAATATGAATGGAGTAAATACCAATTTTGGTCCCACGAGTATTAGTTAAATGACGATTTTGGTCGACATGTTTAATTCTTACTAATTTCATCCACGACTATTGTTTTAGTACCAATTTTCATCCACAACTAAAATCTATAAATTTTAAGGGCACTTTCGTCCTTTTCAACTAATTAATATTTCAATTTGAGCATAAATAAATGGATTTAAGTCCTAAAATCGATCACAATTCGCAGATCTCATCCTACCTTAATTTGAGGAGGAGAATTGCGAATTTGGATATATATGATACAGAGTATTTGACAATGAACGCGATGACGGAAACGCTCTCTGGCCAACGGTCGAATGAAGATCTCGATTATAGACCCCTAAACATTTTGTGAAAAGTCAATTAGCCCCACAAACTTTTAAAAATGTCAATTGAACACATGAACACACGATTTTTAATCAATTGACCCCATTAGCCGGTAACTTCTCTGGTAAAAACCGGTAATTGCCCTCGTAGCGCGCCACATAAGTGTTGGAGTGGGTACTTGGCTGTCACATAAGTCTAAATAAAAAAAAAAATTAAATTAAAGAAATTAAAATTAAAATTACCATTCAGCCCAGCGTCTTCTTCCTCTGTGTCTTCTTCATCCTGGTTTCTTCTTCTTCTTCTTCTTCTTCTTTGTACTCCATATGGGTCATCATAATCATATGAAATTCTAGACCACCATCCCACCTATGTTCAGATAAATACTTTTCAACTTTAGAAACTTTTTCAACTTTCTTACAATTTTTTGGTTCTATTTAAGGTTGCTGGATTTGGTTAATGATGGTATGCAACTTGAAACCTTGTACTTAAGGTTGACTTGAATGTACTTAATTAATAAACTATGAGCATTATATATATTATTGTTCTGGGTTTCGATGGTACGCCTGCTACGCTCGCTGCTACTGTACTGTTGTGTTTCGAAAATAACTAACAATGTCAAAATAATCAAATTTTCCTATCTATTTTCAAGAAGGGAGCTTCTGATTTTTAGTTTGTGTTTTTGTATATTTCTGAGTGTTAAGTAGTATTTAGGGTTCTTAAAAGGGTTGATGGGAGAGTGGAAACCAAAGAATAATATGCGTGTGTGAATTCCTTTCTACGGATAGGTTATTATTATCATATGGAGTACAAAGAAGAAGACGCATAATCATAATTTTAATTTTTATTTCTTTAATTTTTTTTTTAATTTATGCTTATGTGGCAGCCAAGTACCCACTCCAACGCTTATGTGGCACGCCATGAAGGCAATTATCGACTTTTACCGGAAAAGTTATCGGTTAATGGGGTCAATTGACTAAAAAATAGTGTGTTCATGTGTTCAATTGACATTTTTAAAAGTTCGTGGGGCTAATTGACTTTTCGCGAAATGTTTAGGGGTCTATTTGACCATTTTCTCTATATTATATTAGGAAATATATTACACTATTTTACAATATTAGGCAAATATTAATAGTATAGGACTGTTATATTGTTGTATTGTATTACAATACGAATTTTAATGTAGAATTGTAGTACAAATAGGAAAGTAGGAAACAATATATTATATTAAGGCCCTGTTTGGTAAAAAATTGGCCTATAGGCCCCAATTTTGGCTTATTTGACCACTATTAATTATTTGATTTAGTTAAAACATCAATATAAATGTTTGGTTAATTAGTTTTTTGCAACTCCAAAAGGCTAAAATTCAAAATGATACTCCAAGCAACTTTTTCAATTAGCTTTTTGAAAAAAGAAATTATACTAAACAGATATCAGCTAACAGCTAATTTACCAAACACTTTTCTACAATCAGCTAATGTTATCAACTATTTATACCCTCTAATTAACACAATCAGCTAACAACTAACAGCTATCAGCTAACAACCATTTTACCAAATAGGGCCTAAGACTATTTTACAATATTATAATAGGAATTTGAATGTAGAATTATAGTACGAATAGGAAAATAGAAAATAATATATTATATTAAAAAAATGTATTACACTATTTTTTATAATATTAGACAAATATTAACCGTATAGGACTGTTATATTGTTGTATTGTATTACGAATACTAATTTTAATGTAGAATTGTAGTACAAATAGGAAAGTAGGAAACAATATATTGCTATTTTACAATATTAGAATAGGAATTTGGATGTAGAATTATAGGAAAATAAGAAACAATATATTCTATTATGAATTGTATTACACTATTTTAAGCTTAAAAATTTATTTAAAAAAAAAATTATTTTGGACGAAAAGTTAAGAGTGGAGATTTTGTTTTTATATATAGTATAGATATAGATGTAGATAGATTAGTATTATATTTTTTTAATATAAAGATTACATTTTCATGATTTGACCCGAATAAGAGTTAGTAAGCCGATTCACAGGAGAATCACTTGTTAACAAAATAATTTTTTTTTAAAAAATATATTTTTAAGCCTAAAAATCATGGAAGTAGTTATCAACATCGGCGGGAACCATAAGGCTAATGTTGTCCTTTCACCTAGTAGCGTAAGATAGCTGCTTGAACCCACTTCCTATGACCTTTTCAGACCATCCCCTCGTTTCACATTTTTCTGCTCTCACCTCTCACTGATACTCTATAAAGAAGACGAAGAAGGTAGAAGATAGAGCTAGGGTTTTGGCAATTTGACCGTCTGCGCGGTGAGAGCTTCAACTCCATGGACTCTGGTGTACCTTAAACCTCCTCTCTTACGCCTCCAATGACGTCTTACCTCGACGCCGTCAACCATCGCAACGCAACCGCCGTCTCCGCCCCCAACACCAAGCGTAAGCTCGACGATTATGCGGACGACCTTTCATCTGAGTATCTAGTCTCTTGCCCCGTCAGGATGCGAAAAGACCAGCCTCTCCCTTCCTCCCCCACCGATTTCCACCTCCGCTCCACATCCGGAGCCTCCGACTGCCGATCATCGTCGTCCTCTGATGCTGCTTGCTCGACATCGTCGTCCCCCGGGTCCGCTCCGTATGCGGAGTCAACTAGGGTTTTCGGTCGGCTTCAGTTCTTTGTCCGTTTGCTGTCTGGCGGAAATACTTTGGTTATACACGCCGACTTTGACGACACAGTGAAATCCATCCACGAGAAAATCCAAGACAGCACCGGAATTCCGGTGACCGAGCAGCGGCTAATCTACCGAGGGAAGCAGCTCCAGTGGGAGCAGACTTTGGCCGAGTGCGACATTCAGAATGACGCAGGGTTGCAACTTGTCGCCCGGATGAGGAGCACGGGGTACCCTCAAGCTTGGCAGTTGATCAACGACATGGTTTCAGAGATTTTTGTGCTTTGCAAGACCGAGTATCCTCAGCCGACGCAGAGAATCAGAAAGATACTCAAGGAATTTCTTGGAAATACTCCACAAACAGATGTTTTTAAAGCCTCTGAATACCTGCAAATCTTCCTCTTATCCCGTGCTCCGACGGCTCTTGTTATGCTTTATGCCTCTCCTGTGAAGGCTAATAGAGATTGTGCTTCTGATTCTATTCGACTGTTTATTGTTTCGAGTAAGACTATCTTGTCTAAGCCCATATACTTACAATTTGCACCTATAATTATAGAGTTCTGTATGTTGTTGAATAGGGCTGCTGGGACTAAAGATCCTGTGTATTGCCTTTGCCGGAGTAGCTTAGGGTCTATAGTGGAGTCTGTTGGAATTGGATGTGGGGTGGGTAGTGATAAGTTGTTGGTACGAATGCAAGACATTTTTCCATTTGTTAGAGAGTTGGCTACTAAAATATCAGAAGATTTAGGGACAAGTATGGATAGATTGATGGGCCCATCAGAAACTGATGTGCGGGACTTTATTGCATTTATGCTCCCAGTGAAGAAGGTAATAGTAGATGGAGTTGCATCTGATGGCAAGATCACTCTGCCATTGCGGGAGGAACGCAACAGTGGTAGGGGGAAGTATAGCCTATGCTACAGGGATGAGATTAAATTGCTGCATTCGATATTCCTTGATTTGCTTGAGAAAATGGAGCAATGTTTAAAGAAAATGGAGGTGCGATTGGAATCCAGAGAGAAAGGAGAGACAACACCTGTTGTGCCTGGGTGCTGCCAGTATCTTGCTATTTTGAAAGAGTTGAATAGCATTGCTGAACGTTTCAAAGGTGCACAGAAGATATTTTGGGAGATGATGAGGCTGAGAAAGGCTTCTTTCAGCTATCTCGTTGTTAGATTTGCAAAAAGGAATGATGATCATCACTGGATTATGAAGCACAAGGAAGTGACTACTTTTGAGGCAAGGAGGCATTTGGCTATGCTGATACTTCCAGAGGTGAAAGATGAGTATGAAGATCTGCATGAGATGCTTATTGATAGGTCCCAGTTGTTATCAGAATCATTTGAGTACATTGCACATGCGGAACCTGAAACTTTGCGTGGTGGTTTATTTATGGAATTTAAGAATGAAGAAGCTACAGGGCCAGGTGTTTTGAGGGAGTGGTTTTTCTTTGTATGCCAAGCAATCTTCAACCCTCAAAATGCACTTTATATGTGTTGCACCAATGATCGCAGGAGATTCTTTCCAAATCCAGGTATGCTACATGTGTAATGTGTCCCTTTAACCTTTTGTATGAGTAATTATCTTTTTTTTTTTTTTTGCGATTATTTTACGGTTTTCAACATTGAAATTGTGTGACAGTCTTGCTGATGTCTAAGGTTAAAACACTTGGGAATGCATGTGACTGGTCTCACTAAGCCCTATTCATGAAAATTCATTTAGTTTTAGATTCATAAACTGGGATTTTGAGGATTGTTAGGTCCTTGTTTAGATTTCTAGTTTTCTCTAAGTTCCATACTTATACCCTCTTCTTTTCCTGATGGATAGCAGTTCTTATAAAAGAGGAAGAGTTGCCCCTGAGTGGTTAATTTCCCATAGAACAATACAACCAAACATAGTTCTTCTGTTTCAAACTTTAAATCTGATGCACTTAGAGAACCCTCCTCAGCCCTTGTGGGTATGTGATAAACAGACTTCATTAGAAGAGTTCACTAATTCAGAACTCAAATGTGCCATACTTTGCAACAATTACTGCCCCTCGGTTGTCTAGACTTCTCTCTACTGAATCCCCCTAACCATTTCCCTAGAAGGTTAGTACTTAGTATTTATTTTTGCAACTCTTCATTCCAAACTCAACTTGTTTTAATGGTCTGAAACATTTTTCCTGTTGAGAAGATGAAATTAAAATCCTCACCTTTGTTTCAGAAAATCATTACTTAACATTTTCCAACCCTTTTCTTAACTAATCCAAGGCAATGCAAATGAGGAGAGAAGATAGGCTGAAATGGGGCTAAGCCCACTGTTGGTCAAAATTATGTACCTATTTGATTGGCATTGTAGTTTTAATACTCTCTCTATCTCATTTTGTTTATCTTTTTTTTTTTTTCTTCGTAAGGTCAAAACAATTTTTCTCTTACTTTTTTTAGGACACATTTCTTTAAAATTTTGATATTTTGATTACGGACTCCAGTTGTACTTTTGATATAGTTTATTACGGAGTAATATGTGACTTATTTTCAAATACTGAATTTTATCAATATAAAAACTTCAGCTGAATATTGGTAAATTAACCCAACAGCATACATGACACATTAAATTGATGGGAGGAAGTACTCCCCCCCACACCCCCTTCTTTTTAGCTGGTTACTGTGCAATGTGTATTCCTCACAAGTCACAACGGTAGGTTCATTCATCTATATAAATCTTTGACTTTAGTTATTGAAAAGATTCCTCCCTGAGACCATATCCTTGATGGATTGAGGCAAAGCCCTTTGGATACTTGCCAAGGCCAGTACAATATCCTCATAGTTTAGTCCAATGACATTAAATAGAAGATTATTAGCTGTTTCCTTAGCCTGGGACAAAAGGTAGCATTTCATACTAATCACATGCCTCTTCCTCACCTTCCTCTTTTCTTTTAATAAAGTGGGATAAAACTGTTAGAATTTGCAGCTAGATATGTACTCTATGTTGGTGTGTATTTTTATCCCATTAGTAATGACTCTTAGATCAGTGACCTTGTGAATAATACTTCCTTACATCTCATTGTATGCAGCATCCAAGGTCAACCAACTGCACCTAGAGTACTTTAATTTTTCTGGCAGGGTGATTGCCTTAGCCTTGATGCATAAGATACAAATTGGCATTGTCTTTGACCGTGTGTTCTTTTTACAATTGGCTGGAAAAGAAATTTCCTTGGAAGATATTCGAGATGCAGACCCTTTCTTATACAATAGCTGCAAACAAATTCTCGAGATGGACCCAGAGATAGTTGATCAAGATGTGCTAGGTCTTACATTTATCCGAGAAGCTGAAGAGTTGGAGTCCAGGGAGATTATTGAGCTTTGTCCTAATGGTAGAAGTACCATTGTAACTAGCAAGAATAGAAAGCAGTATGTCGATCTTCTTATTCGGCATTGTTTTGTCACATCTATTGCTGAACAGGTTACCCATTTTGCACAAGGTTTTACTGATATCATAGGTAGCTCAGAGCTTCAAAAGTCATTTTTCCAGGGCTTAGATCTTGAAGATCTTGACTGGATTCTTCATGGGAGTGAAACCCCAATATCTGTTGAAGACTGGAAAGCAAATACTGATTATAATGGCTTCAAAGAAAGTGATCCTCAGATCTCCTGGTTTTGGAAGGTATGTGGTTGCTGGAGTCCTGCTCTTGTCTCTAATTGTTAATGAATTTCAAAGAAAGCAAGAATAGAAAATTAAATAATAATGCTTCCAACTTGAATTGGGTTTTAGGTGCACTTCAAATTTACAATTTTACACTATCACCCAATTTCTTGATTTTGGTTTAGTTGGGTCAAAATTCTTTAGTCACCACTTGGCCACTGCATAATGTACGCATGCAACACACACACACACAGATGCACACACTCACAATTTTAAATAAGATTAGAAAGTGAAATATGATTTATTTCTCTATCAGAATTAAGGTAGAAGTCTTTACAAATTGTTAGCAATGTTTTTTTATATTTTAAAAATCTTTGCAGAATAGCTTCATTCTTTTGTTTTCAAAGGCTTCATTTTCAATATATAAGTTATAAGACAACCATTCAACCATTGACCCTCTTTTTTTTCTTTTTTCTTTTTTCTTTTTCTGTGCAATTTAACATTTTGACCACACTGAATATGAATTTTTCATTATTTCAGTAGAGGGACGTTTTAGTAATTTTAATTCTACATGTATGTGTGTGTGTGTAGAGAGAGAGAGAGAAAGAGAGATGGAGAAATTTTCAATAAGGTCAAATGACCACACTGTGCCTTCCCCCTGCTGAGAAAGATTGTGGTAGTAGGAAAATGCATGTGATTATGAAGTTATAATATCTGGTCTTTCAGATTGGTTAGCTTACAATATTTGAATTTGATAGATGACATCCATTATGTGCTTATTAGGATGAGACTATACACTGAAAAGTTATCCTATTTAAGTAGTTGATACCATTAGTGTGTGCATATGAAGAGCAAGAAGCTTCAGAAGTGCGAAGGAAGTCTTCTCATCTTTTCATTTTTTTCACTTGCATGGATTGATGAGTGAAGCTGGTGGATTAAATTTGTTTAATTTAAAAATTTCAAGTGACCAAAAGTAGTCAGAAGACAAAAGTGAAAATGCCTATAGTTGAGGACCAAAGGTGAAGTTAATTCTTTAGAAAAATGTTCAAGTAAGCTAGTTAATATTTCTATAGCCTGTAGTCCTGTACTCCTGGTCTATTCCTGCCCATACTTGGATTCTCATGTCAGATAAGTAATGCATCTGACATGGTTATGCAAATATTCCTCTTAGATAATTGGGGCTAGCATGTATCAAAATTGACATACTTGTAAAAGGTGCTTTACTAGTTAGTTTTCATGAGCCTAGAAGTCCTTGCATTTTATACTACTCAGAAGTCATGAATAAATTGAAGGACTTGCTATTTATCTTGATAATGTGCACCTGGATAGGTATTGCATCACTATACTGGTCAGTGGACAGTGAATAAGTGGGGTTGGGTGTGTGTATTCAAGAGAATGAAAGGTTGTGTTAAGTATATACCTGTTCATATGGCAAATAGCTGCACTCCTTTTCAGGTGTCATCTTGTTACTTGCTATAAAAGTGAGACAGGAGAGAGAGATTTAAAAACTTATTTACATCTTTCTCCTATTCAAAGTGCAATTGGTGTTCATCCTTGCAGATTGTCGGGAGAATGACAGCTGAGCAGAGAAAGGTTCTTCTGTTTTTCTGGACTTCAATAAAGTATCTGCCAGTAGAGGGGTTTGGTGGTTTAGCTTCTAGGCTTTGCATCTACAAAAGCACTGAATCTTTTGATCGCTTGCCTTCCTCACATACGTGCTTTTACCGCCTATGCTTTCCCCCTTACCCATCCAAGGATATCATGAAAGACCGTCTTAACTTTATCACCCAGGAGCACGTTGGGAGCAGCTTCGGTACTTGGTGACATTTGCAGGTTCTGTATGAACTTATTTTTATTTGTACATAAGATATGTTACTCAGCTTGTACAGTAGTAGTAGTACTTAGGATACTCTTTTCTGTTTGGCACATGATTGTTGCAAGAGGTTGCTACTTAATTGTGCTTACATTGACAAATCTTTAGTGTATGTTTTCTTCAACTGTTTATTCAAATTTAGCAATAGCATTTATAAGAAAGTCAAAAGTACAGTTTTTAACCATCTATTTCTTCTTTAAGTTGATGTGTGGGGGGTTGTATACTTGTGTAGTGGTGAAAGATCTGTGGATACAACTGTAATCTTTAGTAACTGCGCATAAATAAAAATTTTGTGGGTTTGTACCTGTTGTGTTGCATTTGTAAAACCAACTTCAGTTGGGATGATTCTTGTTCAAAACTCAAAAGTATGAAATTTTCTAGATCCACCTGGCAAATTTTACTGTTTATACAAGTTTATTTTTGGTATATTGCATGTTTATTTTTTGTGTACTACATATTCATTTTTAGGTAGTATATTAAAAATAAACATATATCAGAATATAATGAACCTATTAAAAATGAACTTATAAGCCAAGTTGGTCAGTCTTGACTTGATAATTACAAGGTTATAAGTTTGATTTAAGTTGTAGTGGTTTATTAGTCTTTCTTGATTTGAGTTGTGATCTATTAATCTTCTTGATTTGAGCTGCACATTCCGGATAGTGATTGCAGTTTGTAGGTTTCTCTCATCTAAATTTTTTTACGACATACTAAAAATGGATAGTGATTGCAGTTTGTAGGTTTCTCTCATTATCTAAAAAATTTTACAATATACTAAAAATAAATTTGTATGTTGCCATGTTGGTATTTGGTAGTTCACCTCACCCACCAATGTAGATTGTGGCCTATGGTATATAACAATTGAGACCCACCTTTGTTGAGCCATTTTTGCACTTGATTGGTATTCTTGATTGTGTATTGATTTATATAAAAGTAGGAGACACTGGCCTTGTTTGGTAAACAACGGTTAGCGTTAGCGTATTGTGTTAGCGGTTAACAAATAGCGGATTGTGTTAGTAGGTTTGACCAGCGGATTATATCTGCGATCTGTAAAAAGATGTTTGATAAAATTAGCTGTTTAGATTAACGGTTAACATGTAAAATGACCAAAAGGGTATACATATAATAATTATAATAATAATAATAATAATAATAATAATTATTATTATTATTATTATTATTATTAATCAACATTTAAAAATTTAAAAAAAAAAAAAAAAGAAAAGAGAAATGTGATGTGGGATCTAATTTGATCCCACATCGACAATAAATAAATAAAAAAGGGCGTTGAGCTCCCTCATTAAAAGGGGAGCTCAACCCCCCAATTTGCATCCCAGGGCAAGGAATTAGAAGCCTCTTTTTTTAATATATAAGGGCGTTTTGGGCTTTTGCCTAAAATGTCAAAGAGAAACGCTGCTATATGCAGCGTTTCTAAAATCAGCGGTTTGGAGCAATCCGCTGCTCCAAACCGCGGTTAACCAAACAATGGCTTTGGCGTTTTGACCGTGGTCAAAACGCCAAACTCGGCGGATCCGCCAAAATTTTGGAAGATCTGCTAATAACTAAACATGCCCACTATCCATTTTGTTTGAATAATGTGATATGTCTTGCTGGCGAATTATATCGTGCATTGTGCGCCCTGGCCAAAACGACTCGTTTTGGTCATGTTCTTTTTTTTTTTCTTTTTTTTTTTTATAGAAATTCCGTTCCCGTTCTTGCCGTTAACTTGAAAAAAATTTTTAAAAAATTCATGTTTCGAATGTAATAAACGCATAACAGAATACACATAAACTCTTAACATAATACACATAAACTCATAACATAATGCACAAACTTTGAACATAATAAACATAAAAGCTGAACATAAAAAACGTCATTTTGGACAAGGCACACAATGCATTGTGCGCCCTGGTGCATGATATAACGATTGATATCTTGCTTGCATTATTATTTTGCATCCTAAATGCCGTTTATTCTAATTTCGTTTTTGGATATAATGTGGGTATAGATATATTGTTGGTAGTGACAGACATGAGAATATCAGATTCCCAAAACAAACGTTCACACTAGTACACAACTATCAATTATGAATATTTGTTGTTATTCAGCACTCTCTGAAGGGAAAATATAGTCATTGTGATGACAAAAGCCTATAAAACAGATGAGTGACATCAGTTGAGTTTTAGTGCTCCATACATCATATAGAAAGGAAGTGATTTGCTCTGATTAACTTTGGTGACAGGCAACCATATCAAACAAAGACGAGAAGCACTGTCCAACGTGGCTCCGCTAAATAGAGTAGGCAACTACATTAGTCATTATCCTCAGGCGACGAGTTTCCTCAAGACAGCTTCAGCTCGCTGCTCAAATTTAGGCAATGCCCATTCATGCTGTATTATGTCTAAACTGTCCTTTTCTGCACCCAAACTCTGATAAAAGCAACACAAAGACGAGAAATTACAATATAATTATCGGGGAAGAGTACAGGCACTATTGCAGAAAACCACCAATTTTGATCCCCAAGGTGAAAGGTCAATAGATAAACATATGATTGAACAACCATAACAAAAATGTAACCATACATGAGGCTACCTAAACCTCGAGAGTAATTGGTTAAAGGTAAGCTTAATAGCATGACCCGAACAACTCCAAATACATCCTCTTTTTCTAGTTATTTAGAGTGAACGTTAAAATGAGCATTAAGTACTGCAAGTATTATCCATGGTATAGCCAATACAACCCCCATCCCTCGTTCTCTCATCTTTTTACAAACTGCTAGTCCTTTGTTTTTTTTTTTTTTTTTTTAATTACAAAGGAAGGCGGCACCCACATATACACAATATTCGCCTATACTGAGGCTCGAACACTAAACCTCCCACATAAGGGACCAAACCAGATACCAGTGGACCACAAGCCACTTGGTAAACTGCTAGTCCTTAAGGAGGAAATAAATATAATCGCTGAATTGTTACACAATATACTGGTTAAAAAGAGTTCTAGAATAAGTAATCAAGGTAAGAGAACCCACCTTTGAGGGGTCAAAACCAAATCCACCCATTTGCATCATACGTTGGGTATCATCCATAGCTGAAAGAAGTAGTAATGTCGATGACCATAACATTAAATAGATAACAAAACTTTAGATACATAATCTCCCATTCACTAATAGAAAAACTTTCTTTCATGACAATTTCTTAAACCCAAGACGACAAAACCAATCAATAGATGGGATAAACTAACCATTTTCCTCTCCAAGAATGAGACTAAACAAACCCCTCAAACCAAAGAGATTGAGGAAGTACCTGAGAGTGATAGAAAGTCATAAATATTGAGCAAATGAGGTACTAAATGAAACATGAAGAGCTACAAAAGAAGCAAAGAGAGGAGAGAGCAGTACCATGAGCGACTACTAACATAGCTCACATCAACAGTACTCAAATCAATTCCGTTTTGTAACATTGACCTGAACCTTTGAGTTAACGGAAAAGGTATCTTTGCTGGAAAAGTTGCATCCACATATTTATATGTACAAGAACAAATGTTAAAATAAGCTCAAATTATAGCAAAAGCCCAAAGATAATATACAACAACAAATTTGAGAGAAACACAGACCTGCTACGAACCCAGAGAAGAAGAAGTTAACCCATGCAAAAGTAAGAGTCTGATTGAGAAAATTCGAGCATGTTAGAATCTGTCAGCAGCAATGCTATCAGGCAAGATCAATGAAAAAAAAAAAAAAAACCTGAGGTATGATCATTGAGAGATTTTTCTTCATCATATCCATAGCCATGTTAGGATCAGAAAACATTTGTGCCTGTGCATTCTGAGCTTGGTCTTTAGGAACAAAAAGCAACCCATTTTCCTGCATTTAATTTCTTTTAGTCCTTTCACCAACAGATGCCAATAAAATAATTCTCTTCACAATTATAGTCATTACACTGTGAATTAAGTACTTAATATCCATCTTTCAAGATCAATCAAATATTTATCAAACAACGGGCTGACATACTCATATTCAAGTCATATTACAACCAATCATCTTCCTACTCCTACTTGGATATATAAAGTGGTGTTTGCTTAAAGCAGATATCAAGTAGAAACTTGCAAAATCTCTCAAGTGAATCCCAGCCCTCCATCTACTTAAATTCAAAGATTAACCAAAACAAGCAACTAACTTGTAGTATAATTCCAAACTATAACTGTGAGCAAGAGAATTCCAAATCTGCGAACTAAAGTTTCCAACTTTGTATGAAATCAACCATAAATAAACTCAAAAAAAAAAAAAAAAAAAAAAAAAAAAACAATCAATAAATTAGAGTGAAGGAGCAAAATTACCTCGTTGCTATAATAAAGCCGTCGTGTTCGAAACGACTTTGCAGGAATAAAATTAGCGCCGGCTCTCAAATTCCTTGCCCTAATTATCACCTGCCTAAAATCAACCACAAAGATTAACCAATTGTCATAGAAATCTATTAAATTCAGTATATAACATAGATTGAAGAGGGAGAGACCCTTCTTTGACGATTTTAGCATCTGGTAACTGAGATGAGCGCATGAGCTTGGAGACAAAGTATCGCAGGATTCCTATGAGCACCATAACCACCGATAACGGTATCAACACCCAATCTCTGATCGCTGTGCCCAACACCAAATCTTCCGCCATCTCTCTACCTCTGTCCAGACGTGCAGTCTCCCCAGCTCAGCTGTTCTTAGTGTTCTCTCTCTCTCTCTCTCTCTCTCTCTCTCTCTCTCTCTCTCTCTCTCTCTCTCTATGTTTTATGAATTGCAAAAGAAACGACGTCGTTACCAGAATGGGCTTTCTTGGGTAATATGCGGGGTGTATTGGGCTTTCAGTTAGTGAATATATTGAGCCTTTTACACATCACGCAGTATTAATTTATCAAACCCAAAAAGTGGAGAAAATGAAATTAGATTTTTTAAAGAGTGTACCTAAAGTTTTTACTCTTGGATATAGTGACTAATTTTTACTTTTTTTAAGTGAGAAAAAGTCAATGATCGAACCCTTGACACTTAATTATGGATGGATGAGTCCCTTCCACTCAACCGCACCCTCCATGTATGACTTAATTTTGCATACAATATTCGATATCTAAATTTGGTCTTGATCTTACTCGTTAAATTTGAATCTTATTCAAGAGAAAGTCCCCCGCTCATAACAAACCTCCTACCGTAGCTCTTCGCACCTTTTGCTAGAGTCGAACTTCTAATTTTACAATTATATTAATAATTCACTTATTAATCATCCCAAGTTATTAAATGTATACATGTGTTAATTTCACTTTTTTAGTTTTTTTTTTTATATATAATGTGTATGCTATAGGCAATTTCTCATAAAAAATTTTCAAAATAGAAGGGTTTGAAATGGAAACAACTTTAATTGAATTAGTATCATAATTAGTTTGATAACTAAATGTTTTAAGTTGGACTTGTGGTCGAGTGGTATAAAGTGACTCTCCCAAATGAGAGATTATGAGTTGAAGCTTAATTATGTGAGTAAAAACAAAAAGAAGTTGGATTGTTTGTGAATTGGGTTAATTGCATAGTTATATTCTTTTCAATAAATTCAAAATGTTACCCATGCCATGTGGTTAAAGTCAAAGTGCAACACTTCTCTTGACGACTCGACGTGGACTAATTACCTACCCTTGCATTTCTATTGTGGCAACGGACAATTACTTACATGAGTTACGTATATTATTTATTGATCAAATTAATACTTTTTAAATTTTATCTTTTACTTATTTTAAATTTAATATTTTTCTGTGTAATTTATAAATATATAAATTTTGTATATTAAAATTAAATTTGATATTATAAAAATTTGAATTAAAAATAATTTTAGTCAAATCTCGTTAAACGAATTCTATACAAAAAATGTGATGAAGATAATAGTTAATATGAAGTTTAGTGGTTAATTTTGTAATTTTTGAAAAAAATGTAACTTTCACTATTGAACCTCATCTACTCATGCACTTTTCGTACAATTTTTGTTGGCAAATTTTAACCTAACACATGATTGAATTTATCCCAATAGTGTCCATTTTAAATATAAGTCACAACTTTAAATTCACAGAAAATTCAACAATATATTTAGTCTCAATATTCATAAAGTGTGAATGGGATAATATAAATTGTCCAACTTAAATTCATGAGATAGTATATTGTCATTATTGAGATTCTACTCAATACGAACCAAATTAGTTTGTACGTGTAATTTTAATTGACTAGTTGAGAAAATCTATGGTCTGACACACACACACATATATATAGTGAAAGGTTTCCGTGCGGTTGAATGCTTCCCGTGTGGATGTGCAGTGGATTAATGTGCGTAAGATTTGTACTCAATGTACGTGAGTGTTGTGTTTAATGTACCTGAGATTTGTACTTAATGTGCGTGAATGTGTAAAATGCAGCAGAAAATATTGATGTCAGCTTCTTCCCCATCCCCAGTAGCCATTTGCCCCCTCCCTGATGATGATGATGCGGAGGCGAGCTATGGAGGTTAAGAATTATGGGAATAATACAACATAAATCCACACTTTGCTATTTTACAAATTTTACTGTGCGTGCGTTATTTATATAAACATTCAACTGCATTGAAGGTAGCTGATAACCCAGAATCCATGGTCAAATTGAAGGAAGAAGTAACAAGAAGCTTGGGTTGGGCGTTAATGTGCGTGAGTTTCTGTTCTGCTTCCTTCTGAGCCCGTAATTCTGAAATACGCACGCACATTAAGCACAAATCTCACGCACATTAAACACAATAATGAGGAACATTAAGTACAAAACTCACGCATATTAACATGACGCACATTAAGTACAAATCTCACGCACATTAAGTATAAACCTCACGCACATTAATCCACCGCACATCCGCACGAGAAGCAACAAATGCACTTGATCCCTTCCCTATATATATATAAAATCAGGAAAGAATCAATCTTAAACTACGAACTTGTGAAAGATTGCGCTGTAACAGCTACGTCTCCTAGACATGCGTGGAGGACCTTGCGTCGTAATTGTATCTAGGTAAGATGCAATCGTGTAATAAGTTGGGTGTAAGCTTTCACAAGTTCATAATTCGCAGATTAAAGTTGATTCTCACATGATGAACCTCAATATATGGGTTTGGATGATATATAAGACTTAATATTTGGATAGAACATCGAGAGTTGTGAACAAGATTTCCAAAATGAGCATATTTGATCAATTATATTGCATTCAATAATTTTATTTTTTTTGAATGAAGAAGGAAACTCACAGTTATTATTTAATGATGTGTATTTGATAAATTATGGCACTTAAACAACACAAAAGTAATATCACGCTATAAAAATCATGTGTCATGATCTGGATCGAAAATATATTAACAATAATTAAATTAATATGATAATTATGTTCCATCAACTCGATCATCTAATCTAATGCATTCAATATTCCATCCTTTTGGAATAATTGCATTCAATATTTCAATGCTAGTCTGCGAGGCAAGGACCACTTGCATTAAACTAGAGAAATGCATTGCTCGTGATTGCATTTTCATCAACCATACATGCATGCAGCTACTGGAATAACTTAACGTCGAAGGATTTTAAATTTTGAAAAATACAACATATTGTAAATGTCTTTAATTTGCTTTTCTCTGCAGACAATATTTAAGAAAGGCACCGGCGTAATTATAAGGGGTTATTTTATGGGCAAGTTATATATATATTTTTTTTATCCCAAGAGGCCACTGTGACTCAATAATTCCGGTGCGCATAAGAAATCTGTCCACTTTAAATATAATTCCTACACTGCTGCCGTCGAGGTTCGAATCTTGATCTCTTCTCTCATATACTACTCACTGAACCATTGAACTAAACCTGTGCAGGCAAGTAATATACTTTTCTTGCTCAAGTATATGGGGGTGAGTTCACTTTAGAACATGCTCATACGATTGTTGGAAAAGTTAAATTTTTTTGTGCGGGCAAGTTATATATTTAAAAGTTAGATTATTTTGTTTTTGTTTTTTTGGAGAAGAGGAAATGGAGAGACCTTGCCAGCTAATCATCTAGCTATTGCAAAGCTGCCACTCATAATAGTCATGCGTTGCTCATTATCAAAGTACCTCTGAATGCTTGTCAGGAGATCCCTAAGGGGGCGTTTGGTTCAAGGTATCTTAGATTACCATGTTTGATTTAGGTAATCTGAGAGGGTAAGTAATGCAAGATTACTGCCACGTAGGAAATGAGAGTATATTTGAGGTAATGTGATTACCAAATTTTGGTTAGGTAATGTAAGATTACTTTTCAATATTTCAAAATTGCCCTCATTTATTTCTCTTTTATTCATTACATAGACCTCATTATTCAATTATTATTATTATTATTATTATTATTATTATTATTATTGTTATTATTATTATTATTATTAGAAGCATCTTGTTAAATTTGGAATTGTAAAAAAAAAAAAAAACACTTGCAGTTTACACCTTTCCATTTCTATGAGGGCATTTAAGTAATTGATGTAATATAACCTAAAATATAACCTTCAACCAAACAAGTTAATGTTACATTCCTACAACTTTAACCAAACACATCAGGTAATCTTACATTCCTAAAATCTCACATTACTTACTCACAGAGTCACAGACTCACAGGTAATCCTAAGATTACTTGGGGTAATCAAAGATTCCGTGAACTAAACGCCCCCTAAGTTTAATCCAATCACAATGCCATCGGACCGCCATTTTTGCCATAAAATCTATTGTCTCATTGTCTAAAAGTTAGATTGACTCGATTTATTACATTGTACGTAAATCTATATCTATATTATTAAAAAAATAAAAAAAAAAGGTGTGGGGAGCCTTATCCAATCATGGAATAGTGAAGACAAAGAGGTATATATATGAGTATATATGTAAGTGGGCTACCAATTTCTCCATCTAATAATCTTCTTCACTTGTCTTTATGCCCATAGATGCCAATTTGCCATTGCCCTTACGCACCCCACACTCAGTGACATTCACGATCTAAGCGCTCCTTCTGTCTCTCTCTCTCTCCAATTTTCATTCAATTCTTCACAATCTCCGGATCACCACATGACCCTTTCCATTTGCGTTTCTGCTTCCCAAAACTCGAAACAATCTACCCCCTCAATCCCCTCTCTTTCCACCCGTTTCTGATTGCCTTATTTGTTTTCTGGGTATTTCGCCTTGGGATTCTTTTTTTCTTTTTTTCCCTACAAATTTTCTCACCGGGCTAGTTTTCTCATCGCCCAATTTTCTTTTTTTAATACTAAAGTTGGAGTCTTTCTATGTGGGTGTGCGATTCTTGATTTGCTTTTGTGCTTGTCTGTTTTTCCCAGTTCCGTTATTCCCTAATCTCTATGCGCGTGAAATCCTTGATTTGACTTGTGAATGTCACTGGCTGCTGGAGGGGCTTCGAGCTCAGAAACTATGGGGGATGAGAAGAAGGACAAGGAGGGGGCGACGAGTAAAGCCGCCATTGTTGCTGATTCGGACGCTGAGACTGACAATGAAGCAGTTGAGCATAAGCCTAGTGGGCACATGAGTGAGGGCTCCTTATGCACTACCGAGGACGAGGAAGACGAGGACGTTGCAAACAAGATTCAGTTGGGCCCTCAAGTTACTCTCAAAGAGCAGATTGAGAAAGATAAGGTCTGTTTCTGTTTTCTTATTTCTTTGTTTTGTTTTGTTTTTTTGTTTTTTTTTTTTTTTCCCTAAACGCCTTTGGTTTACTTTTTATTCTTCTGGAGATTAGGATGATGAGAGTTTGAGGAGGTGGAAGGAGCAGCTTCTTGGGAGTGTGGATATCAATGCTGTCGGAGGTACAATTGTTGTCTTTTTTTGCTGCTTGAATGTTTTGATTTGCCGTTTTAGGATTTTGTCCACCTATGAATCTCTGGATATACTTCTTTGTTAGTGTTTTTGTCTGTTTTTTTTTTTTCAACAGACACACAATCATACTTATGTATATACAACCATGCATCTTTTGATTTTAAGGAATTCCATTTGACCAATCATTTGTAGGAGTGTAGGTATTATGATTCAAAGATTAAAGGTAGTTTAGTTTTGTTCTTGGTTTATGTTGTGGCCCTTTTATTATATAAATCAGCCTTTGATTTAAGAAGTTTGGAACCATATCTTTGATTTACGGGAAAGTCTGCAATGGCTACTCGGAGGTGCGCTTGAAGCCCACCTTCTTACCCTAGCCAGCCTTGGTTGCCTATAGCTGACCTTCTCAAATCGAGAAGGCCAATAGGCCGCTCCCACTAAGAATTGAGGGTTCCAAGGCAACAATCTGACTAACTCGACTGGGGTTACCCTTGGAATCCATATCTTGACTAATGATTATGTTGTTTTGGAAGAAAAAACCAAGAATCTGGTCTCTTTGGCTCAAAACTGAAGATTCTTGACCTCTGTAAAATCCTTATTTGTGATGTGCATTTACAAACATTATGTACCGTGGGTACAATATATGGAATTGATGTGAGAAATATTGAAACGAGCTGGGCACAATTTGTTAAGATTTCCTAATTCCTCTACCAAATCTCGGTTTTATGAAGTGCACTTAATTGAGATGGTCATTTCGCTATACAATTTCGAGCTTTAATTTGCAGAATCTCTGCATCCGGAAGTTAAAATCTTGAGCCTTTGCATTAAATCGACTGGTAGACCTGATATTGTTCTCCCTATCCCTGCGGATGGGAAACCTGAAAGCCCATGGTTTGCGTTGAAAGAAGGGTCTCGTTACAGCCTAGAATTCACATTCGAGGTCAACAATAACATTGTCTCCGGCCTCAAATACACAAATGCAGTTTGGAAAACCGGCATGAAAGGTACTCCTCGCCTCCTCCATGAATCTCTCTGTGCACATATACATTTTCGAGCCAATCTCCTGAATACATGTTTTTACCTTCTAACTAAAGCTTGCCCCATTTCTGACTCTTGTTTCAGTGGATAGCACGAAAGAAATGCTCGGGACCTTCAGTCCTCAAGCAGAGCCCTACAAACATGAAATGCCAGAAGAGTCAACCCCTTCTGGCATGTTTGCTAGGGGATCATACACTGCAAAGACAAAGGCAAGCAACCATTTCTTCTCACACTTTTATATCCTTCATCAAACCATTTTTGTTTATCATCGTAACCTATGAAAGATCTGTTAGCTTATTATATACTCCGTATTAACTGTACATAAACCCATTTTGGTGTATAAAACGAAACTCTTAATGGTTCTATGCACACGGCCAAAGAAGATTATTGAGTTCATTAATTGAAGTTACGGACCTTTTCATGCTTTATAAAGGACTCTCTATATCTATATTTGGTCCTCTTTTTAGTACTGACTTTTATTATTATTATTATTTTTTCTTGTATCTGTATGCAGTTTAAGGATGATGACAATAAGTGCTATCTGGAGATCAACTATACATTTGAAATCAAGAAAGATTGGTCAGCAACATAAACACAGTTCTTGCTGAAACTGTTACCTAGATTGTTCTTGTTTTTTTTTTTTTTTTTTTTTTTTTTATAATGTTGGTTGGTTGGTTGTTTATTTCATTCCTCTCTGTAAAATTCTCCGAAAAGGAAATTAAAAACAGGGATAGAGGGAGAAAATCCTTGTGCACTTGCTTTGAACATTGAATTGGATGGTAAAAGTTTTAGCAGTTAGACTCCTTTTTTTTTACTGATTTTTCATTCAATAAAGTTGAGTTTTGGCCCTGCAACTTCTTGATGATGCTCTGTATCTTTCTGTCTGCATATATATATATTTGATCTTTTGTTTTTTGTTTTTTTTTTTTTTTGGGGTGGGGGGTGGGGGTGGGGGGATGGATTTGAAATGCATTTAGCCTCCATGTCTATCTTATTCAATAATCAGCAGTTGATGTGGTAAATATGATGGTTTTTGCGAATATGGACGGGTAATGAGGTTGGACCGTTGACGGATCCTTCTCTAGTCTGTTTGCTTGTTTAAGGTTTAGCCTCGGATGATGACATGAGTTCTGAGCTAAGTAAGACTAAAATAAAGATATCCAAGAGTCCTTCCTTCACGCATTTAATGTGGTATTTATTGGATGTGTGAGGGAACACATACTAATTTCTCAACCGAGCGAACTTTTACTCGGTCCAAGGAACGGCGGGATTACAGTTAAATCTGTTCATATACCTATTGAAACACAAAGAACCAATAACGCCTCCACTAAGGCTCGAACTCATAATCTTCCAAATGGAAATCCAACCCGGGTACCATTAGACCACATAGTCCTAGTTATTATTACATTAAAAACTAATAGTTTTTTATATTTGTATAGGAGTCAGTATAATGTTATTTTGTTTTTATATTTGTGTAATATCGGTGTAACATTTCGATGGCAGTTTGTTGGACTCGGCTTTTTGAGGACCCGCCCAACACTAACAACTTTTCTTACACTATTTTATGTTAGTTTAGTTGCAGCAGTTTAAGGAGCATGAAAGTTGTGTGTTGGCCGGTTGGTTGTTTCCCTATATCTAAAACAAGGTTTCTTATCTTAGCCTCTCATATGGCTGAAGGGGAATCAAAGCATTAATTTGAAGAAGAAAACCATGGAAGGTGAAATCAACAACTTCATTATGGTATGGACAACTGTGTTGTGTTGTCTATGTTACTGTCACACCATTAACGGGCTCTTTCCCAAACCTAGTTTCACAAGATTTTTCGCTATTTTCCCGGTTGCCTGTCTTTTTCTTGTTCTGCCACTCAATCTCACCTCCATTCATCTTGCTGGCACTTCCGCTTTCTTCATTGGGTGGCTGGGAAGCTTTAAGCTCACCCTTTTTGCCCTTTGCAGAGGCCCTCTGTCCTCCACCCCTCCCCTCCCCCTCTCCACTTTTATCCCGTTTGCCTGTTTGCCGATAAAGGTTCAACGGCGCAAGAAAGTGGCCGGAAATTTTAAGTTTTCCGGCAGCCTGAGGAAGCTGGTTTTGCTGGGCGTGGTGTTTCTTGTGTATTACTATAAAGAATTTCTTCACCCTAAAGTGTTTCTGCTGTTCTTCGTTATCCATCTCTACATTGTGCTTGAGTTTATGTTGTTTATGGTTAGCGGTTTGGTCCGGGCGGTTTTCCGGGTCGAGCTGGAGGCGCCGTTCGACGAGCCGCACTTGTCGACTTCGTTGCAGGATTTCTGGGGGAGGAGATGGAACGTGATGGTCACCAACATCCTGCGACCCACCGTGTACGACCCGGTCCGGTCGGTGTCGGCCCGGTTTTTGCCGGAGAGTTTGGCCTCGCTCCCGGCGGTGATGGCGTCGTTCGTGGTCTCCGGGATCATGCACGAGCTGGTGTTCTATAACATCGGGAGGGCGACGCCCACCGGGGAAGTCATGTCGTTCTTCCTCGTCAACGGCGCGTGTGTGGCTCTGGAGATCGGCGTCAAGAGAGCCGTCGACGGGAAGTTTAGGCTGCCCGGAATAGTCTCCGGCCCGCTGGCGCTCACGCTCGTGATTCTGACCAGTTTTTGGCTCTTCTTTCCGCCGTATTTTAGGAACAAGGGAGACACCAAAGCATGCGCAGAATCCTTAGCTTTCATTGAGTTTGTCATCAATCATAGACTTGTCAGTCCAGAAAGTATGACTTGCCAATTTTTTTCAATCTCTATTTAATAATTAAAAAATTACCTACTAATCCATTTTGTTTTTGTTTTTTTTTTTATTACTGTTATCAAGAGTTCAAGACACAACTTACTTGATTGATCAGCTCAAAATAAGTTTTTTTTTTTTTTTTTTTTTTGAAAATAATCAGTGATAATTTCATTAGAAATAAGCCGCTATAATTTCAGGTGGAGAGAGATCCCAATACATAACAGTAGGCTACTGAAATGCAGGGGATGCTAAAGCATGGACTAAATAATTATCTGTTCTAAGAATAAAATTGAATGAACAAAAATCAAACGAAGATGTAATTGTTCTGCAGCTATCAATAGCATAACCAATATACGAACAAACAGTGGATGGTGGTGAGGTGAGATACTAGTGTAATGTTAGCTCAAAATAAGTTAATAATTTAACTTTATTGATAATCACAATGAGATATATATCACAATTAATCTCTTCCACCAAATTTTCAGTACTAGAACCTTCCGAGGAGGCGAGACAATTAACCTGCATAAAATTTTCAGGACGAACGAATAGTGGGAGTCATCGGAATTAAGATTCAATCCCTAACTCAATTATATATTAATTTAAACATTTTATTCACATAAAACAGGTATATATTACAAACATAAAGTACTTAGTTATGAAATTCTTAAAACATAGTGCTAAATGCATACATTATTATTAATTTGGAGGAATGATCTCATCTCTCTTCCATTTTAATGGTCTTATTGATTACTATTTGTTTAATAAGTGATCCTGCAACTTCTTAATATTCTTCACCTAATAATAGTTGATAACATGAAGCAGAAGTCCAACGGCCCAAAGTCCGAAAGGCCCATTTAAACTGATTGGAGCAGAGAGTGATTTTGGCCCATCTGTGGCCTTCTCTGAAAGCCCTTTAGCCCATTTCTTCTGACCAATGATCCGAAGCCCATTATGAGAGTTCATAGCAGAAGATGATGTGGGCCCATCCGCTCCATCCATCAAAGAGTTTTTGATCTGTTTGGTTTTCCAGAATTGATGGAAAGTAAAAGGTAAAGATGGTGTGGGCCCTTCAGATCCAGAGATTAATGGGCTTTCTGCTGAAGTAAGAGAGGATGTGGGTCCATATTCACGGCCCATTGAAGGACTTTGGGCCTGATCGGTTTCCATAGAGGGCCCATCTACTATTGGGCTTGCTGCATCCTTGGGCCAATATCCGACTGGGCTTTCTGCTGAAGAAAGATAGGATGTGTGCCCATATCCATGGCCCATTGCTGGACTTTGGGCCTGATCGGTTTCCATAGAGGGCCCATATACTATTGGGCTTTCTGCCGATGTGGGCCCATAAACCTGAGGTTGAACATTGACTGGAAGTTTTAGTCCTTTTCTACAGTTGTCTATGTTCCCACTGGCAAAGTATCTGATTCCCTCCCCGTCAAGAGAGATCTTATCCAGACCGTCCGTGAACATTCTGATTGGGTTTGATAGATCGCACGATTCATATTCCTCCAAGCTTCCCAGCTCCACGATACTATCCTGTCCTATCGAGTATGCAAAACCTTATAAAAGATAAAAGAAAATGATAAGTTTATCCTTATAAATAAAACTCATCATACCTATAATAATATTTTGATATCAAGTAATCGAAAAAATATATACTATGACAATATTTATTGACAAATAAATATTGTGTAAGACCTTGTCACTACTTTTTAATTAAAATGTTTTATTTTATCAGTATATAAAATAAGTATTATATTTTAACTAAAAAAGTATTACGTATTTCAGGTGCAACGATTTCACACAAGATATACTAATCATTGACGAAATTTGATGGTATGTATACATACTTACAAAAATTGACATTTGATAGAATGTATATATATATACTCCGTACTTACAAACAGTGTCACCAACTCTGAAAACTCTGCCAGAACACCAATCATGAATGATATTTGAAGGCTCCCATCCTCTATCTCCTCCCACCACGTGGAGCACTTGTGCCGTAACCCCACCACCACCTCCTCCTACAGCCACCACCAGAACAACCACCGCCACCGCCACTGCCACCACTCCCCTCATATTATGTGCCATTTCCATTCCTGCTTGCTGCTACTGCATGTAGTGAACCGGCTTTGCAACTAAGCAGGGTTTTATAGTACTCTGAACTGAACTACTGTACTCTCACTGCCTGCTTCTTCACCTAATGGCTAACAACTATAATTTTGCATGGAGGACAGAAAATGCCATTTACCCAACACACTGTACCTTTCCCGGTCCAATTACTTGTTCCATTGTACTATCAGTCTAACATGTGTTTGGAAATATTTGATTTACGTGAAAGCCCATAGCCGCTATTGATGTTGCGCTCTAGGCTCAATAAAATTTATCTTATATTTCATTCTAGTCTGCAAAAAATAACTAGTTAATTGTGTCGGTACAGACTTAGCTCACTAGTTCAATAGACCGTATTTGAAAAAAGAGACAAATTCAATGTTCGAACCTCAGTAGTGACTGTGAGAGTTTAAAGTTACATTTTTCTATTTGCTTTTACGCTTTCAATATTAAACTAGTTTATAAGCTAGGTATACTAAATATAGCCTTAATTTTTTTTTAATACAAAAATCAGTTTTAGTAAAAGTTGTGCTTTAACATTCTAACCAATTCACATAAAATATTGATGAATTTTGCTTGAAATATATATAACTAATCTGTAATCATATTTGTCAGACGGTCACCATCAATGGTAAATAAGAAGACAATTTCAATAATTAGTTGAGTTATTATATTGTCAAGTGTCGTATCTTAAACAAACAAACAAAAACAAAAAGTAAAATCATCAATTATTATTATTTTGGAAAAAAAAAATCCAAATTGAAAATCTCAATGCAATATGTGATGGCACAAGAACTAGCTAGATAGAGATGCAGCTTGATGCTTCATAATTCCTGCAAGCACTAATTAAAGATTCTGAATCGAAGTCTAATATTCACAAGGAGCGCAGCATATGTTTAATTTTAATTAATTAATTAATTGATTAGATACTTATTATGGGATAAATATATAGGTGTCCCATATCTTTTGAATAAAAAGCTGAACTAATTAGCTTTGCTTTCATCACCAGTTTTGTGTTTTTACAAATGTACGTTGTCCTTTACGATGAAATGAAAAAGGAGCCGTGCATGAAAGGATATGGTTATTTAAGTTATGTAAGGTAGATGATATATACTTGATTAAGGTATCTCTGGTAAATCTTATTTTAGAGTTTATAACTTATTTTAAGTTATAAATTATAGTTATATTTGGTAAAAATAATACCAGTTTAAAATAATAATTTGTAGTTATTATATGAATGTGTGCATGGCCTTGGTTGTAATAATGTATAGGAGAGGTAAATAGTATTATAAAAATAAAATTATATGTATGATAAACTCGATAGAAAGAACGTATGTCAAATAATAATTAAATTTGTGATATTTTATACAAAAATGGGGATTCACCCATTGTCCAACCTCTTTTAATTGGGGGCTTCAAGTAATTATTTTAATTTGCTGCGCTAGCTGCAGTATATTGGAAGAAAACTAAAAATGGTTGGATGGGTCACAGAAAAGTGGAAAGTAGTGATTGATAATTACAAAGACATGTTAAAATGTAAAACGACAAGTTGCGTCTAGGTTTCTCCGTAGTAAAATTATGTATGTATTCCATATATTATAACCTCATCTATATCCATTTTGATCCGATCCCCTCCTTGAATATTCAGCCATGATACCCTCCATACATATATAACTTCTGCTGTTTTTTTCCCATCAAGCTTGGGATCCATTAATGGGGGCAAATCTCTGCTGTTTCAGCCGCTCACGGCGCTCAGAACCCGCCGCCGGCGAGGTTAAGAGCACGCGCTGTTACCGAATCATCCCTCACCGCGACACCGAGGCTTGTGATGATAAGGTGGCCGTGGAGTATAAAACTCTGAACGAGTACTTCTTGGCGTCGCCGGCCGTGAACCACGCGCCGCCGTCCGGGAAGGTTTTCGCCTACAAGTCCTCGCCGGAGGCGAGTGCCTTTCACACGCCGAGGGTCAGCCTATCGTCACCTGATCAACACGCCGGCGCCGCCGGGTTTTTCAGTCCGAGGCTTAGTTTTTCAACCGCCGAGAGGCTCGGGAAGATCGAGGAGACTAACGAGAAGAAGGAGTTGTCGCCTTCCAGGAGTGCGATGATGAGCAGAAGCCGGAGCAGCAGCGGGAAGTTTAAGAAGAAGGTGACATTTAAGCTGCCGGAAAACGCTGACGTCGTCGTGTTCTGCACCCCTCATGAGTCGTTTGAAGATCCATGAGTCTATATGACAGACTCAAAAGGTATATATACATATATACCAATTAGTGTACATGTATATTATATTATTGGTTTGTCTTATCACATATATAATTAATAACTCACTATAATATGATAGGAATAAGGGTCAAATAGGCCATCGAACTGTACACAATAAAACAATTAGGCCACTGAACTTAAAAAACCAACAATTGGGTCCCTAAACTAATCAATTTCAAACAATTCTTTCAATTAGAAGGTTTCCAACAGGTCAACAGGTCATCCTTCCAAATTAATTATTTTTTAAAATTTAAATTTTAAAAATTAATTATTTAAATTATATATATAAAAAAAAAAAAAAAACTGGTTCCGTCTCCGGCTGGATTCCAGTTTTTTTTTTTAAAATTTAATTTAAAAATAATTAATTTTAAAAATTTATATTTTAAAAAAATAATTAATTTGGGAGATGACCTGTTGACCTGTTGGAAACCTTCAAATTGAAAGAATTGTTTGAAATTGATTAGTTTAGGGACTTAATTGTTGATTTTTTAAGTTCAATGGCCTAATTGTTTTATCGTATACAGTTCGATGGCCTATTTGACCCTTATTCCAATATGATATGATTACCACCGTAATCAAAAAAATTAAGTGTAACACTTATGTAAGATAGTCTCATGTATCTTAATTTGTGAGACGGGTTGAATTTATGATAGTTGTTTGTTACCTAGCTATAATATAAATAATAATATTATTATAGAAAATTTAATGTTAATTTAAAATAAATAATTCATTAGTTATAATAGATATTGTAATATTTATAAGTCAAATTCTGATACTATGTATGGTAAAATGATTGTTACTAATAATAATATTAGATAAAATGGTCAAATAAGTCCTAAACTTTACCCAAGTTGGTCGCCTTCTCCATAGCATGCGACCGGCGATCGCTGGTATTTGACCTAGCTTGCCAAAATTTGGTCAGATGTTTGCTGGAGGTTCGCAGGAGTTGTGACTAGAACCCTAATTGATCTGCAATTACAAGTCACAACAACTTAGTGGGTTTCAAATTACTCCAAAATAACATGTTTGTTGGTTTAATTGCAACTTCTAAAGTTGATGGGCCTGATTGACTTTTTGGATAAAATTTATAAGCTTATTTGATCATTTTTCCAAAATATTATAATATTTATAACTGAAATTGTGATAATTACAAAGTGTAATTTTAATATATATATATATATATATATATATATATATATATATATATATATATATATATATATTGTAATAGTTAGTTATATGTGAAATCATGATATTATTTAGAATAAAATTAATTGTTACTAATGATAAATAATATTTGATCTTGTTAATACGGTTGTCCACACGAATACATACAGCTACTAAGTCGGACCATAGAGGGGTCCTTGAATCATTGGCTTGTTGGCTATAGATATTGAGCTCGAGAAGATGTGATAGTGGGTCAGATGGTCCCGAGTAGATAATAGCTATGTGGAAGATGTCAAAAGTCTTTTCCTTCAACATTTAATGTTGTATTTATAGGAGAATGTAGGGAACACATGATAGAGGCTTGGCATGTGTGACAATGTTCCCATGCACAAGGAAGGTCGGAAGCCCCGCAAATTCTCCCACGTGTACTAAGGTTCCTGATGCCCACGTTCCTATCACAAATGGGTTTGACTAAGGAAATGAGGTTCCGTCTTCCAAGTGAAGAAGGTTAGGTGGCATGTCTTGACCTAAGATAGTCGGGGTGGTCACAAAGGTAGGAGAGTACTGTTGCTAACTAAGTCCTTGCTCAATCCTTTACAGCAGGTCTGGTCGGTGGCTAGCTCTAAGTCTAAAAATGTTCGAGAATGATTGATCTCGACGGCTCGCCTGGATACCGAGTAAGTATGCAATACATTTAGGTGTCGAGACCGAGGGTTATTCCCTATCAATATTGTAATATTTATAACTAAACTTGTGATACTTATACATTCAATGGTTAATCATCTGACGCGTCTTGCATACTCCATACATGTTTTTTGCCAATAAATAATACTAAATTAACTTTTTTATTTCTCATGCATTTTGTAAGTTTTATATATTATAATAAACTCTATTTATTACGAACATGGTTCACTCAATTGAACCTACCCTTCATAGGGAGACAGATACACATCAAAAATACCGTGAAAAAAGTGGTTAAGTGGATAATACAGTGATAAAACCGAGACAAAATTCGCTGTGTTATGAGGATTCAATGAACCTGGACAGTATATATGTTCATTGAACCTAGACAACGTAATCGTAAGAAGCTAAAATGTGGAAAATAGAGCAGTAAGATGACGGCTACTGGTCTCCGCATCGATTTCTCGTGTGCATTTCTAAAGCCGGATTATTCACAAAAAGCATGTTGCCTTTAATTATAGTAGGAGTATTATACTCTGTAGTTAATTAAACTAAACGCATTAGTTTTCAATTTAATTCCTAATAAGGAGGTTTTTTTGTACTCATTTGAAATGCAGTTCTTTTTGGTACTCATTATTACTACTCCTTATTATTTTATTTTTGCTATAAAAAGAGTGGTCGAATTAGTAAAACATAATTCTTATACTAAAAGATCATCATTTACTAATTCTTATATTAAAAGATCATCACTTTAATTATTATTAACACATTTTTGATAAAATTCGTAACACATGATTAACATTGAAAATTTGGGTTAACTTTTTTAGTTTTTTTTTTTTTTTTTTTTTGATTTGTTTTACCGGAAAACTCATATTCACTATCCAAAGATACACTCGGACGAATCTTGCATTGTACAAAGAACTACAATAAAGTAAATCAACATAGGTTACCCATATCAAATTGGACCAAAAAAAGACCTACGAAATGCTCCCATGGAAAGTCAAACTTAGAAGCTTGTGATTAACAAGCTAACTATCTGACTGATTTGGATGAGATTATAATTGTAGTCTTTTTTTATTTTATCAAAATGATGAGTATACAATATAACCAATTACAATTGTAATATGAATTGAAGTATGTGCTCCATCTCAACTAAAAGCCCTAAGCTAACAACTTAATGGATATATGCTCACACGCCCCCTCACGTGGACCAGTTTAAACCGTAGTCACTTTATGCTTACACGCCCCCTCACGTGTACGCGTGTACGGTGGATTCCAACCAACACCCAACACGTGGACCGGTTTAAACCGTAGTCACTTACGAGTGACGTTGAAATTCGAACCCATGACTTTTGGTCTGGCTCTGATACCAAATTGAAGTATGTGCTCCATCTCAACTAAAAGCCTAAGCTAATAGTTGGATACACATTAATGGATATATGCTCACAATATGAACTTATTAATGAATATCTCTAATACAACTAATGAATAAGTAATCAATGATTTTGCCCTCCGATGTATGTTTACGGCTAATTACACTAATAACCATTCAACATAGTCGACCCAAAGTAACATTTTTGTCCCATTGTATGAAACAAACAAAAATAAAAATAAAAAATAGCAGCCATGTTGTGCCTTTATATTTCAAAGAATAATAATCGCATCAAATTTGTGGTACCAAAAATAGTTCAATGAGTGTTGTGAACTTTTGCTTTATATTGAAGTGACACCCCTAGCCAATATCACTTTCTAATTCTAGAGCACATTATATTGGTATAAAAATATGCAGCTAATTTATTAATACTGAATGCAAACGAGTGATGCTACGTTATATTCTCTTTCTTATTTCACCTTCTAATATTTAATTCTTATGTGTATTAGTTCATTTTTGTATTTGATAACAACTGTATTTACTTTTTTTTTTTTTTTTGTGGGAAAATGTATTTACTTTTTTAATACGAGGTGAATTCAGCCAATTCGTCATAGTCAATAAGTAAAAAAAAAAAAGTTTTATTTTAAAAACTCATGGATGGTGCGTTATGGATGATTTGCATTGGCCCCTTCATGCCATGTGTTGAGGATCATTTGATTTGTTTCCTAGCATGTTTTGTCATATTTTTTGGCTTTCCGCTTCTCGTGAAAAAAAAAAAAAAAAAAAAAAAAAAAAAACAAACAATTTTATAACCACATTCATTAGTGAAACTAAAAGGGAAAATATAGTAATAGTTCAGCGAAGCGACCTAAAGTAAAAAAGGGAGGAAATGGTATTATTCAATGTAAATTAATTTGAAAAAACAATCAAATAGATCTTTGTATTAAACTTTATATGAAAAGAGCAATTAGCTCTTTAAACTTTAAAACGTTCTACAAAATATATTAACATGTTGATTTGATGCAATATAATTAAACTAAATAGTTGATTATCTTAATAAAAATGATGGTTTAAAAAAAAATATGATGATGTTGTAATATTTATTCAAATAAATTAATTTAAAAATTAAAATAATAAATTGATGACGAGTCATGACCCGATTCTCCATCCAACTGGGCGAAGGAGCACTTCAGAAGGCAAATATCGCCGGAGAATAACTAAACACCCATTAGAGAAGGTTTAGTGTTCCAACCATTATACCATTCTCATTCTTATGTGTATTAGTTTTAATTTTGATTTCAACTTGAATGCTTGTACTCAACTTTCTCATTTATTACTAATTATGTCCTATCTGTTTGAAATACGAATACCAATAATAAATCACAACCTCATAAAAAGAATATTGAAATTTAATATGCACCGATCATCCATTTTATTCTAAATTCTAATACATAGCAATTTCAAGAGAGATTTTTTGAGAGGATTTTTTTTTTTTGGTTGGAGGATAGAGGAGGTTAAGGGGAAGAAACATAAGAGATGAGAGGTATATATATATTGCAATAATGTGGTTTTTGTTGGGCCCATTAAAAAAAAAAAAAAAAAAAAAGGCCAACACGCATCATGTGCGCCCAGATGGGACGTGCGGTGCACGTGTCATCTGGGTGCGTTAATTAATATTTTTTTGACACTTTTATTTTTTCTATTATTCTCCCACGCTAAAATCATGACAAGAATCTTATGATGTTGGTGATGGTCTTAGAGTAAAAAATAACACTCAATACCTATATTCGAATTAAATTATCTAAATGCATTAAAGGGGTTTCAAATAAATAAGGAACTAATAATGTAAATAGTTTCCTAAAAGACAATAATTTTAATTTACACTTTAGCACTTAAATTTTACGGGAAATAAGCTAAAACTATAAATATAAAAGTTAAAGGGAAAATGGCACTTTTTCCCCCTGTGTTATATGCTTATAGCACTTTTTCCCCCTGAGTTATTCATGCATTCACATTTGCCCCCTCAATTATTATAAAAGTGGCGGTTTTTCCCCCTGATAATATTAAATGGACATTTCTACCCTTAAAATAAATATTTTATTTATTTCTCTTCTTCAACAAATTATTGCTTATACGTAGGGATGACCACGGTTCGGTTCGAACTGAACCAAACACTATAGCAATCAAATTAAAAAATTTCGGTTATGATTCATAACATAACCCAATATTTGGGTTTCCGTTTATTAAAATCGTGAACTGGAAAAAAATGGATCCTGAACCGTGAACCGGAGGTTCAAATCGGATTAACTACTAGCAATAGCTTAAATTAGAATCATAATATTTGCAAATAGTGTATGTTTTTTTTCGCATTTATATTGACTCTCACATATAAGTATATATAATCGCGGTTTGAGTTTTATTTTGAACCGTCGGTTCACAATTTTGGATCCAATTTGAACGGTTGGTTCAAAATTTCTTTTAAAATTTTATTTTTTTATTTTTAAAATATTCTAAATTCAACACTTAATGTATTTTATTTTTTCAAATCATGGTTATAATTTGTTGGAGAAGAAAAATAAATGAAATATTTATTTTAAGGGTAAATATGTCCATTTAATATATCAGGGGGAAAAACTGCCACTTAAATAATTTAGGGAGAAAAAGTGCTATAAGTATATAACAAAGGGGGAAAAAGTGCCATTTTCCCAAAGTTAAAATAGGCACGTCCGTTAAAGTTAAAAATAACATTAAATCAAATTATTCGTCGAGGCATTCAAAAAAAAAAAAAATTATTAGTCGAGGTTTATTTCAAAAAAAATCTTTTTAAAATCAAAATGTGACTTAGTTATTTTAAGAGTTAATTTCATGAATGGTTCATTGACTATTGTCATTTATTAATTTTTATCATTTGACTTTAAATTGGATCATAAATGATCTCTTGACTATTGATCTTTACCAATTTGCATCATCGATTTTCAATTTAACCATAAGTGGTTCCTTGACAATTGATTTTCTTCACAATGATGAACTGTATTAAATTTATGAATTCAATTTGTTCATCTCAATAACAAGCTAATTTTAACTTTATTATTCTTGAATTTAATGTTTATTAAATGGATATTTAACTGAAGGACAAAATTTGAAACAAAATCAATAGTCAATGAACCACCAGAATTGCTATCCATTCTAATTGCCAAGTTCTTGACTTATATGTTAGTTTTTTCTCATGGTGGCTCAATGGTTCAGCAAACAAGGCATCATCGAGGTTCGAACCTTGGTATCTTCTCCTAAATACTACAAACTAAACCATTGAGTTAAGTCCGTGCGGGTAGGGTTGCTTTCTATTCCTAATTGTATTGAACATCTTCTTTAATGAAATATTGATTTTTCCTTTCAAAAAAAGATTTTTAAATAGTCAAGGACCATTGTGGTCATATTGAAAGTCAGGACGAAAATTGGTAAAGATCAATAATCAATGGTCCAATTGAAAGTTAAAGGACAAAAATTGATAAATATTAATAGTTAAGGAACCATTTTTGGAATTAACTCATTTTTTTTTATTATTTATAATATTAAAAAACATAAATTTATTTCTTAAAAAATAAAAAACCAGTCGAATTACTTCAAGCCATGAACTTGACCAGAATCCCGGGAAGATACAATTCAAGAAAATCAGCAAAAAATAGTTTACTGAGACTGGGATTGCATACATGTATATATATAGTTGTAGTGAGCGTACATAATTACATATTCAATCGACAGAATGTCATCATCTTTTCCTCACAAACTCCATTAATGGTTAACAGTGACCAATTTTCAAGGACTTTCCGCGGTGAAACCATTCTGTCGCCATTGTAGCACCACCTTTTCTTACAAAAGGACAGCTCTGCTTCGTTTCACTTTCAGATCTCTCTCTCTCGTTCTGCTAAAGCAACGGGTTTGGAGAAATGGCGAACGTGGTTCCGGCGAGGTTCAAGAGGGTGGCGGACGCCTTCGACGAGGCGGCGGTGACGCTGAGGGCCCGTCCGCCGTGCGGCAGCAGCAGCGGGAGCGAGCACTCCGCGGCGGCGGCGGAGAGCTTCACGGATTTGTCCGGTCTGGTGAATTCCTTCATGGAGAAGAGTTTGTGGGAGGGAATTGAGGTGGGCGCCGGCGGCGATGACGTGGATCGGGACGAGGTTGAACCGGAAGACGACGTCGATGAAACTAAGGATGATTTGGAGAGGTTGTTGAGCTACGGCGGCGGCGATGACGACACCAAGAGAAACGTCTTCGAAAAAGTGGAAAAGTCCATCCGGGAATCCGGCGACCGCTCTGCGCCGGAGTTTAAACGCCGGTTGATGGCTCGATTGCGCTTTAACGGCTTTGACGCCGGTAAGTCATTAGATTCTAAAAATTAATCCTTTCCAAAAAAGGGGCAATCCCTTTCCCCTCACCCCAACCCGATAAGATTGTAAAGACTCGATTTTTTGCGTCTTTATCCATAATTTACCACCAGAACCAACTAATTAGTTACTCGTGCGGATTAAACTATGATGTTTTTAATGAATTTATGTCGATCTAATGAACAATTTACTTACAGGTGTTTGCAAGACAAGGTGGGAGAAAAACGGCGGTTGCCCTCGCGGGGACTACGAGTACATAGACGTTAACGTCAACGGCGGCCGTTACATCGTGGAGGTTTTCCTCCGGGGAGAATTCGAGATAGTGCGGCCAACTGCAAGTTACACTTGCCTGCTAGAAAGCTTTCCGGCGGTTTACGTGGGAACGGAGAAGGAGTTGAAGAAGATAGCGAGGATAATGAGCAGTGCCATGAGGAAATCCATGAAGAAAATGGGGATTCACGTTCCGCCATGGCGGAGACTTGCGTACATGCAAGCTAAGTGGTTCAGTTCCTACAAACGTACGACTAATGAAATCGCTTCAGTACAGGCGGCGGCGGTGGCGGCGCCGCCTTCTAGCTTGTATAAACACAGGAGATCGGTTGGATTCGGTCCTACCCCAGAAATGTCGTTCAAGTGCAGAGAAGATTTTGGGGTGAAGAATGGTTTCAGAATTGGGAATTTGGCTGCAGCCTTGAGTGGGAACTAGTTAGATATAGATAGAATTTGGTTGCATTGTTGCATTTTATTGATTGAATTGTGTATACATAAATATATTGTTTTTGTCCATGTAGAGGGGATTCTCTCTCTCTTTTTGGTTGCAACAAAGAAAGAACATTACTCATTTGAGTCAAACCTTAGACTGTCAAAAATGACAACACATTCATACAAATAACATTCACTTATCCAAAAGTAATACAAGGTTGAATCCCTAACCCTAAGGGGCCCCACACCCTGACCTGTTCCGACAGAGTATTTGGGAGGATGTAAATCACGGTGGTAGACATGGCCAAATGCCGGTGTGCATAAGGAATCTGCCGACTAAAGAAATACTTAACTTTAGGGAGGATTTTGAAGTTCCACATTTTCACCCAACTAGCTTGATTTCCTGTTAATTCATTTGTGCGTGATATATAGTAGCTATGAACTGAGTATTTGCCTTTCTCATCCCATTTCCAATAGAACTTATTCTTTTTGGGCGAGGAAGATAGAGGAATATGCTTAATCCACTTCTTATCCTCATTGAAAATATCATTTAATATGGTTCTCATCCCATTTAAGGTCACCATTAAAAAAAAAAAAGGATGCAATAGTGGCAAATTCTAAGTGAGGCAACATCAGAGTTCGAGGCTTGCCATCATAGTTATTCGGATTCCATGCATCTTTCCATATATTAATTTAAGACAAAGCAGACTTATCTCCCAGGTAAATCCTTCACCACATAAGCCTCCTCTGGAAATTGGAAAAAGACATAAACATAGTCGGCAAATTCTCTCTTGTTCTTTAATCACCGCACTTGTTCTTCACCAATTCTCTCTTGTTCTTTAATCACCGCACTTAGACCTTATGAGGCTATGATAAATAGGTATGGTGATAATGGTGACGCTATTATATATTTTTAAAAACTGAAGGAATTTGTTCATTCTTATAAATATAGCTAATGTTAAAAAAATCATTATGCGATCCTCGGACACCTTTTTTAAAAATTATTTTTTAAAGACTTAATAATTATAAAAAATCATATTCTAAGCCACCTACCAATTTTTGGAAAAGTGAATATAGCCAATATAAAAATGCATCTAAGTCACAAAAAACAATACGGATAAGCTCATGTCTTACACAATAATCTTTTAACAAATTAAGAATTTACATATAACGTTGCCAATATGTTACAAATTTTACACCAAACAAGACGTAGATTGTGGGCAATGACACCGGATAAGCTCAAGATTATTGAGTTATCGTGATTTACACTTCCATAATACTCTATGTGGGGGTCTGAGGGCAAGGGAACATCATTTCTGTGGGCAAGCCTCCAGCAACTTTGTTCTTCATGCATACATAAGAATGGAGAATAGAAATATGGCATTGCATCATGTATGCACCTATAGACGCCTACTGCAAGTACAAGCAGTAAGCCTGGATGGTGCAATACAAAATCAATTTTTGAGAAGGGAATCATGAAAAGGATAAAATCATTGCCTTTCCCCACTTGTCCCCTTCTCATTCACACTTTACCAGATTCTCTCCTTTGTGCAAATGAGTATGACTTGAACATAACAAAAGAATGTTGGATTCATGCAAAAAATAACACATTGCAGACATAAAAGTAGCAAAAAGTTGATCTAACATACAAAAGTTCGTGTTTCTAATTAAAGAATGAATAATTGGAGAAACGAAAACAGAAGACAGAAGGAAACACAGCATGTAGGCATGTAGCAACAAGTTAATTGAACTAGAGAACAACAAATAGTAAAGCAAGCTTCCCTTTGGTATTATAAGATCATAAGCAAATTTGCATTTTCTCATAGGTTACTTCGACATATGAAAGAAACAAGATCAAGACACAGCAACATATTTGTCACTCAATATGTGTGGAGTTCGGTAAGCAGATATGTTTACAGTAGGGATCCCGATCAAGGAACACCAAAAACAACCGGCCAGATAACTCCTAGAATAACTTGATATAGCTACAGCCACCATGGCAGTCAAGATCAAGGGTACACAAAATCTCACCCTAACCTTGGTACAATGTAGCATCAGGTCATGTTTCTCAAACACTACACATGAACAGGACAAAACACAGATTGCAGAACAAAATTCTATATTGCACTATCTAATTTAGGATGTCAATCACATACAAATCTCACATTGCATTTTCTGATTTATGATGCCAATCATAAAAAGAACAAATACAAACAAGTATAATGAAGTTCTATACGAGCAAAATCGGATTTTGTTAATAAAAACTTCAAATTTATATCCCTCTAAAAGACAAGCTCATGAGGTTTCATGCCTGCTTGCATAGAGAACCTTGCGCCCAAATAACCCTTCAAATCTGGAACAGAGTCGATAGCTTTGATTAATGGCGCATCTACAACTTTCTGGTCATCTTTCTTCTCTTGAGGTATGACATTCATCTCCTACATTTCCAACATGAAGGGAAAGATAGCAATTCAGCATTGAAATTAAAGTAAAAAGCACAGAAAAGGGAAACAGTGCAGACCTCTTTATCAGACTCAAAGAACTCTCCATCAGTCTTCTTCTTCTTCTTCTCGCCCTGCTTAACAAAGTACTTGTCATCTATCTTCTCAACATTGACCCCAGAAATGTCGACTTCTGTGGATGTTGCGATCACATATGCCTGATTCACGCGCCTCAGAGGAACTCCATTGATCTTGAAGGGTCCGGTAACAAGGAGCAACCCGGACGGGAGTTGCTTCAGGAACACAACTCTCTTGCCCTGGAACCTGCCGGCGAGGATAATCAGAACAGTGCCGGGAGTAATGCTGGGCCTGAGCTTAGTTTGTTTCGGCTTGTGCTTGTTTACAAGGAGCTTCTTAACATCGTCTGCGGGGTAAAACTTGGGTGGCTTCTCGGCGGCCGGCGACTCAACTGGCTTCTTGTCGTGGCGGGGGAATGCGCCGCCGTTTTTGGCCTTGATAGCCCATAAACCCCTCTTGCGGTACATCTTCGAGCGCGAGTACTTCCCGACGCCCCTGATGAGCTCCGGATTCCGCGCCTTGGCCGCCATTGTAGAGAATCAAAGGATCCTCCTTCTCAACGTGAAGTGTTCTGAATCCCAAACCCTAGCTCTTATGAATAGGCTCGCTGTCTCTCTTATAATGAAATGATGAGGTTTTGGGCTTTCTGTTAACGAATTGGGCCAAAGTGGTAGAACTGCAATTTATGACTAATTACAGGGGCCGAAGTGAAATTTAACCATAAATCAAAAATCGAAGTTCATCTACATTAGCTCGAACTTCGTATCATTACGGTATATGAACGAGAAACTATAAATACAAGGAAACGCGCACGCGAAAAACGGTAATATTCCTTGCGGATCGGAGAAGATATAACAATACCCCGCCGACTAACCACCAATCCCGCCGGCGTATATGGAGGGAGTAGGGGCCAGATTTGGCCGATCGTCGTCTCGATACGGACCGGCGACGGTTTTCACCGGTCCGGTTCGTAAGTGGAAGAGGAAATGGGTCCACGTATCGCCGCCTAGCTCAGGCAATAGCAATCACCAGAGCCATCAGGCAGCTACGAATGTTGGAGCTAACGGAAGTAACGGATCTTATCTCTTGCTTCTCAAGTGGACTCCGATTACTCCCAGCCAGAACGGCAATAACGCTAACAATAGCAACGGCGCCGCCGCCGCCGCCGATAAGAATGAAGACTCCAAGAGCTCCGCCAAAGACGACGCCGTTGCTGCAGAGGTGCCATTGAAGCGAAAATTTAAGTATATTCCGGTAATTTTCTGCCAAGCCAGTAGTCAATTTTTTTTTTTTTTTGGGTGTCAGTGTAGCAATCTGAATTTTACTATTTATGTAGTATGTATTGCTCCATCTCGTTACGTGTGTTTACGCTTGTGTGTGTATATTTATGCAATGCTGAGATATTCAGAATATTTTGTGTTTATATGTCTACGTCTTTTCACATGATGGAGTTGACTTGACGGGTGGACTGAACGTTGTTTAATTTTGTGGCGCCAGTTCTGTTAGGATCTTTCGTTTGTGGATCTAAAATTGGGATCTTGAGATGGAATAATAGGCATATGGTTGTAAAAGTAATGATTTTTTTGGAAGGAAGGTTACTTGACCTGAAGAAATTGAGTAACTTGAACAGATGATATAGTAGTTTCTCTCTCTCTCTCTCTCTCTCTCTCTCTCTCTTTTGATTATTAGATCTGTTTCTGACTTGTAGCAAAAGCATTGGCATGATAGATTGATAGGTTCTTTCCTCAAATAGATGTATTTAATACTCTCAATTATCAATCCAGAGTTTGTGAAACTTCCTCTTAAAAACATTTTAGGAAAGAGGATTACTTAATAGGTAGGTTTTAATTAGATCTCAGACTTAGGCTTATTCCACCATACTTAATAGTTGATCTGTTGGCAGAACTGGCAGTTGTATTAGAGCTATATATAACTTCATAGAGTATTATACTTGTTGAAAAGGGGATGCCTGACTGCTCTTATCCAGATAGCCCATCTAATCCTTCCCTTAATCCTTAAATAAGAGGGTGTTATGCATTGCTTACTCAGATGGTTCCTGTTCATTCAGTTCATAGTTCACCAAGTATCTTTATTAGCAGAGCTAGTTCAGTTGACACTTTCTCCATTACATTTTTCAAGACTAAGGGGTTTAGACGTTGAGTCAATGCTTTATTGCACTTCTATTGGTAGGGATCTTCCCCTTTGACTAGATGGCCTGAGAAAAATAGTCATCTCCTGCTGTGTTAGAAACTTTTAGCTGCCAGTCATACATGTTAGAATATGCCAAACTTGAATATAGGTTTGATCTGATTGGATATTATTATATGAACTTAATTACTGAACTAAAGTCAGATATATTTGTGCAAAGAGGAACACATTTACATATAGGTTTTTATTTGGTGAATTGGTCGTCCATCCAGTAAAATTGAATCTTATTTCCTCGAATTTGCTGCAATTCTTTCCTTTACCTCTTTAACAATTCAAAGATTTGAGGTCAATTCCCTCCATTTCCTTTTCTCCTTTCACTCTTGATCTTTCAAACATACATGAAACAAATTAGAAATAGTTTTAGTATGTGAGGGACAATTTAGATGGCTAGTAGTAGTTGTTGAGTATTTGTATGTGTGTGTTAGAAGTTACTGCTGGTGTTTGCACAAATTTTTGGAAACTCTTTATGGATGACAGATAATGATGGGATTTGGACTTTTGGAGCCTTTATTTGTTTGTTAACTACTTCTTTACAATGGAGTATTACAGGCATTGTGCTGATCTGACACTTGAGCCCCTTTCAGGTGACTGAAAATGTCTCCTAAATCATAATTGATTACTTTACTCTGTCCAAACTTCTATTATCATGGATATACACTTGCCAGTTGCCAGTGTGAAGGAGATCTTCTTATAATAGTTGAAATTTAAAAACCTTCCAGAGTATGCCATTGGAAGTAAAACTTTCTACTGCTCTCTGTAATGAGAGATTATTAAGTCTTATTTTTATTTTGCTTAGTGTTCTTTTCTGTATAGGAATAAATAGCAGTAACTGTTAAAATGCTTTGTATTTTTATTTTCTGAATCACTGCTTAAGTGTAGAGATCACTACATTTTATTGCCAATTTTTTTTTCATCTAAGATGTGTTTTCTTTTGCTCTTAATTTCATCTTGAATGGTTGAGTAGATTGCTGTGCTTGAAGAGCAAAAATCTTCAGAACTTGAGGATGAAGCCAATCAAATTGAAAGTGAAACAAATGGAGGAAAGCCTGCTTCTAAGACTGATGGTTTTCATGAAAAACCAGATATCAATGATGTGCCAATGGAGGATAATCAGGTACATCAGACATCCTTTCCCAATATGAAAATATTGGAATACGGGTAAAAAACAGTAAAAACTTCATTTTGTTTGGTACATAGAGGAGAACAGGAATTGAACTTGAGATCTCTTATCTAAAATCACATGCTTATAAAATCTACTTTTCACGTTTTATATTAGTTTAGCTTTAATGATTGTTTTGTATCCACACAACTGTTGTTCTTGTGCTTTTGAATTTTTTCGTTCTACTATTAGTCTATTACTATATCACTATATGGCAATGGAGAGAAATTGTGCTCTTGATCTAAAGAGCCGCAATATGTAAAATAGAGGAATAATTTTACACATTCAAAGGAGTGGTTGATTTTTATGCACAATATGCCCTCGGTGTGCTTCAAATTTCTTACATGTCCTAATTTGAAAACGCCCCATATCCTGACAAACAGTTCTATGATTTTGGAACTAGCTCTTCTTGGGCTCTAGATTTAAGCCTCTGCTTGTTAGTTTAAAGAAACTACCATCTAACCTTTATATTACTAATTTTAATGTCTCCTATGTATCAGGCTTCTGAGAATGACATTCCAGAACGACAGGATTTAAATGAAAGCACGTTGGATTTGAGTTTGGGATGAACGTTCACGATCACCACGAGAAAAATTGCTGACACGAAAGAACGAAAGCATACCTGATACCTGACTAAAGAATGTCAGTTAGACAGAGTTGTACTGGATTGAGTCTTTTTGCTGATATCTTCTCAGTAACATGAAAACACTGTCCTTTGAGAAATGTTATCCGCTTTGGTATTTGTACTTTGCTTCAAATTGTTTAAGCTCTGCATACTGAAACAGCTTATGAACTGGCATTGATATGATTTTTATCTTCTGGTGATTGTAGTTTGTATCAATACTGTACTGAGAAGTAGAATCACACTTGTTTTTCTTTTCCAAAAATTTTCCAGATTGTTGTGGGCGACCTTTATGTATTGGAATATTGTTTACATATTGGACTTGGTTTATATGTGTTGAGGTCTTGAGGATATACATTTGGTTTTTCATATTTATCCTCAATTTGACCCTATGTTTGAATATTACAAATATTTTTTATGATGAATTATAAACTTTCAAGTTTAACATTCTATAAAGTTGTCTGTTGACCAATTTTTTTAGTTTGAGTAAGTTAATTATGGGATATTTAAACTGGTTACCTTCTTGTTGTTATTCGTTAGGTCGGTATTACTTATATCGCACCTGATGTAGTTAATACGGGGTGTATCGTCTACGATCTACATTCTTACATCGGGTTCGGGTTCGGATCTTATGTCATGTCTGCTTGTTGGTTTAAGTAATATACCTCGGTCAATGTAATAGTGGGTCAAATGTTCCCAAGATAATAGTTATAGCGTAAAAAACAGCCAAAAATACCTTCTGACATCAATTAATGCGGTATTTATAGCTAGGAGAAGGGGACATGTCCCAGTCTGCCGGCATGCCCGTCGTGTGGAGGTCATGCACGGGTGAGAACGGTTGTCCAAGGGGTTAGGGCCACGTGTTCTAAGATTCTTGACTACGCAAGGTCATACTTCGAGGTCCTAGAGAGGGCGGTCCGACCTAACCGGGCTAGAGGACCCTTTTTCGGGATTAGCCTTCGATCAAGGTCGAGAACACAAAGATGGTTGGGAAAAGAGAGCATTTAGGTCGGTTATGATTGGGGCGGGTTCGACCCGTCCCATAATGCACTTACCGACCAACGTATTAGGCACGAAATTCGGAAAATAATTCTCATCAACACCTTTAGGTAACAATTGCGAGCATTTTAATAAATAAAAAAAAAAAAAACTTACATTAGTATTGATATAGTCAATAAAATATTACGAAAATGTAAATCAACTTAGGTAACCTCCTTAGTAAAATTTGCTTTGTAATTTTAATTGATAAAGACAATTCAATCAATTTATATAGGGATACCTTAAACACAAATTCAAAGTCTTTCTCACTTTCTCAAGGAGGGAAAAAACAGTGTTGAAGTTGAATTTTTCGTTTTAAACCGATTAACGATCGCAACCGGGATTTCCAGTCTCCGGTCACCTTCCCAAATACCGGCATATTGCAGTCATTTTCTGGGTTTCTCTTAATTTTTCGCTACTTACATCCATCAGCCCTAAAGGCTAAAAGGAGCAAAGGCGAGTGCATTAGCTCTCTTCTCCTGAGCTATCAGTGGCTTTTTAAGCGGTGAGAGTATAGTATTTCTGTTTATTTATTTATTTATTTTTATTTTTTTTTTTTTTTCATTCTCGTTGCTGTTTTTTGGGGGCGGGGAGGTTAATTTCACTGTTATTGCGCTTGCTGCTTTGAGAAATTTCATTATTGAATTGTTGCAAAGTTTGGAATACTTCATTTCTCTTGTTATAACGTGGTTCTAATTTGGGAATCTGAAAGCTTTTATGCTTTAATTTGTGAAATTTTGCTCCGAAAACAGCTTACGGTCTGTAACTTTCCTTTTGGTCTTCGTTACAGAGCATGATGGACTCACAAAGCCAGAATACTTCGTTACAGAGGCTTCAGAATGTTGAAAAGGTAAAGCATACGATTGAACTGACAGAGCTATAGGAGTATATATTGGGTTAATTTTCACTCTGAATGTGTGGATGGTTATAATTAATTGCAGAGGATAGTTAGGGTTTTGGAGCTGGCTGGAGGAGTAATGGATGAATTGGCAAACCCAAGTGGCCCTAGGAAGGAGCTGATTAACAATCAATGCAGCGAGTTCATGCAACTAATTAAGGTTTTAAATTTATTAATTTACCCTTTATGAACATGGATTTGAAGAATTATCAGAGAAGTTGCGTTGAATATCACTATTCTTGCTTGGATTTTTTCTTTATGCTGCATAGAAATTGCTATTGTGTGTTGCAAGTTTGGCTATGAATTTATATTTTCCCCACTTGTGTCTTGTGACAATAGGCATTTGTTTAGACTTTAGACCATAGTGAATTCTATAACTGATAATTGATTGCAATTGAGCTAACTGATCATTATGTGCTTATTGGTGTTGACTGTGAATGACAGTATTGTTTGTATGATAGACTTCTAATAATCTGTCTTTCGGTATATGTGATCTTTCATGTTATGATTTACTTGATATTGAGCATTTAAGATAGAACTTTGAGTCTATAATTTAAGGTTGGATTCCATGGTTCCACCTAGTAAATTGAACAAATAGTTGACGTAGTGGCTTTAAAAAAAATTTGATGCAGGATATCCAGGTGACATTGCGCGAAGAAATCAAAAGTGCATGTGAATATCGTCCATTTGAGAAGTGTGACTATGTCCCAAGAATAGCCAGTGAGATCTGCTGTGAAAAACTGGAATATGTCATTTCACAACTGGATGATATGAAGCAGACAATTGATGAATATCACGGTTCAACTTGAAGCTATATCTTCTAATTCTAGTAGGTAAATTACTGTACATATTCCCCCCTCAGGTAGTCTATGCAAGTTTTGCTCTGATGAAATTAACTTACTTTGATTAGTTTTGGTAAAAAATAAAAAAAATTATTGCTTATGCATGTAGACTGTGCTGTGTTAGGACCAAAGCGAAGCTTGCATAATATAGCTCTTTCTATACCTTGCATGTTCTGCTGGTAATAGATTCAGGATGAATATGATACAATACAGATCCTGGGCTGCCAATCTGCCTAAAATCAATTTAGTTATCTTATTTCCTAGTTTATTAGTAGTTGCCTTTTTTACTTTAAGTAACCATATTTTAGAATATTGTTTCCTTATGTCTTAACCTTTTAACTCCTATATATAGGGAGAATATTAGATTGTCTTAGTAAGTTGGAAATTGAATAAAATCAAAAGGAAGTTTCTTCCTCCAACTTCTCCCCAACTCTCTCTTCTCTCATTCTGTTTTCCCTTCTTCACGATTGGGAAGAACAGAACCAATTGTTCAAACTCTGTCTCTCATAGGCCCATAACGAGGAGTATAACTCGTGAACATATCAATTTGGTTACCGTTGCCGGCGTTATGGGCAGTACCATCACAGATGATCCTGCTTTTAAAGCGCTGCAGAAATCTGTTCGTTCCATGGAGGCTCGTATCGACAAAATTGAGAACCTCTCTGCAACACAACACCAACAGGCAGCTTCCCTGGTTAATTTGGAGAGAATGATGAAACAACTTTTGATTGCTCAAGGCAAAACACCAGTCTCCGAAGCTGAATCAGAAACGGTGCACCAACTTGAAGGGGATTCCGCCATCCAGGAAACACCGGACGATCACCATTCCCTCATTCGATATGCTAAAATGGACTTTCCATTGTTCTCTGGAGATGAAGACCCCAGTTTATGGCTGCTACGTTGTGAATCCTATTTCCGGAATGCCAACATTCCGGATTCGGATCGGATAAATTTTGCCGCACACCATATGATTGGAGAAGCCCAATTATGGTACCATTCTGAAACAGAGTTGATGAAGTTTCCCTCATGGGCTGCCTTCAAAACAGATTGTTGTCTCAGCTTTGGGCCACCACGTAGCATTAATGCCTTAGGTGAACTTAAACAACTGTTTCAAGCAGGACGGAATATAGACGAGTATGTCAAAGAATTTCGCACGCTGTTAGTGAGAGCAGCGAGAGCAGGGACAGTACAACCCAACCAGCGAGTGGATCTTTTTACCGGCGGATTAGATGAAATAATCCGTATAGATGTGGAGCACACCAAACCAAAAACACTAAATGAAGCCATCAACACAGCCAGGGATTTTTCCGCAAGTGCCAATTGTTGGGACTTATTTTCAACCAAGCCTTCACCTCTACAAACCAGTAACAACATTGCCCAATCATCCGCCCATGTTCCATTACCCATACCTCCATCAACCAACCAGCAACAACCCAAATTCAAATTCCCCATACCCGAACAGAAGGCCGAATGCATAGCCAAAAACTTATGCTACAATTGTGATGAATTTTTTTTTTTTTCCGAGTCATAAATGTCGCCATCTTTTTATGTTGTGGACATTAGAAGATGGTGAAGAACCGCCTGGTGGGCTTGCATCCACGGAGGACTTCCCTGAATTCAACTTGAACGCACGCGATGGAATCGCCTAAATTCAAGCTTGGGCTGCCAATCTGCCTAAAATCAATTTAGTTATCTTATTTCCTAGTTTATTAGTAGTTGCCTTTTTACTTTAAGTAACCATATTTTAGAATATTGTTTCCTTATGTCTTAACCTTTTAACTCCTATATATAGGGAGAATATTAGATTGTCTTAGTAAGTTGGAAATTGAATAAAATCAAAAGGAAGTTTCTTCCTCCAACTCTCTCTTCTCTCATTCTGTTTTCCCTTCTTCATGATTGGGAACAACAGAAGAACCAATTGTTCAAACTCTGTCTCTCATAGGCCCATAACAAGGAGTATAACTCGTGAACATATCAGAATAGACTTTAATTTATTCTTGAAGTTGTTTGTGAAACTGTTCACTTTTAAAGAATCAACTAATTCCTACTGGCATTATGATGTGTTGCATGACTTCTGCTTGGCTGCTTGTCATGTGAAATTTTCTGACATATGTATCTTTTGGATGGAGCATTGTCAAGTTTAGGATGGTTTTGGTGAAGTAATAAATAAAGGGGGGAAAATTTTGATTTGATCTCTGATGATTTAACCTAGCAAAAATTGAAGTTATCCTCAAGTACCCACCCCACCCCTGTTCCCTCAGCCTTTTGCTTCTGACATTTCTACTCGTCGTCACTGTCTGTTGCTCTGCACTAAATTCCAAATAATATCAGTACAAGCAAGAAACCAAAAAGTGAAATGAATGATGAAAAGGGAATTTGAGTTTAGAGTAAATGTTGCTTAATTGCTGCAAGCCTGCAAAGTTTCATACCAAAATGAACAGCGCATTGTTTTATCATATGACTGTAGTTTGTGCTGTATAATGGTTGTTGCTATTCACTAGCATTCTGTCCATATTTCTGAATCTTGTTTGTGAACCTTTTCAGGCTTACCATGCTGCAGTTCCCACTTCCCAGATGTTTCAATATGCCATGAGGAATCGCAATGCTTGGAATCTGTATCATGATATTGACTTGGATCTTTATCCAAACCGAAAACACATTACAGAATCATATGGCATTGTTGCTATGATTTTGCCTGATTGTATTATTGTTATCACAGATATTGGACCCCCCTGTTCTTCATCCTCAGTGAAGAAAGCAACTTGCCAACCATTCAAAAAAAAAAAAGAAGCAAAAGTGGTGTTTACTGTGTCCAAGTGAAGAATGTCTTAACAAGTCCATGACAAAGCCTCATCTGATTTACATAAATTTTAGTCCACTGTCAGGTCATATCCTTTTACAATCAACTTTAGCATGCATAATTAGTAATTATATCCTATGATTATATTCCTTGTGATTTTGAATCATTACCACATATATCATCAAAACTCTACACTTTGGTTGTGGATTTATTAAGTTTTAACCATTTGGGTCCAGTAGCTGTATGTGACCTATCTATAGTTCAAAAAGCTCACCGAATGGCCCAGCAAACCACGGTAGGACCCATTAAGGCTTCAGACATCCAAACTGAAAATAAATAAATAAAATAAAATAAAAAAAATTGCACACCAATCCTAGAAGCTCTATTGCCTTAGTTTTAAGTTTTGGTAAATGAGGTAAATTATAAGATATGTTTTAAGGTTTATAAATTTATCAAAAGACGTTTCAAAAGTGTCTATTAGATCAATCTTGTTTATGTTTAAAAGTTCACAAATTTGATAGATACTAAAAAGATATTAACAAAAATTAGACTCGTAATCTCTAAATGGGCAAATATCATGCTTCACCAATCACCAATTTAAACTTTGTTGAAATTGAGGGATTGATAGGTCTGGCGGGTGGAGAATAACCACCCCCCGCCAGTTAGGCGGAAGCAAAATATGTGAGTACCAAAGAACAAGAGAATAAAGAGAATATGGTGAAAGATTACAATAGATTATATCTCTCTATGTGTCTACGTACCTCTATATATACTAAACTACATACTAAATTAACCTAATAGGATTAGGAAACTAAGCCCACCCTACTAAAAGTTTCCTAATATTCAACAAACTTGAAAGTAAAACCGAGCTTGATTGTTGTGAGTGACTATGCACTCTCACTCATCCTTTAAGAGAGGTCGAGAGTTCAAACTCTTAATTAAGTCGGTCTGATACGAATGAGGATTAGTCTAAATATAGTACGAGCTTAAAGGTGTGTTGTACATAATCTGACCAAAAAAATTAACAGTTGATCATCTTAGCTGGGTTGTCATATGTCCCGTGTAGGGGTGGAGAGTGACCAACTGACCATAGTTCTGGATAAGGCAATAGAGGATTTGAGCAATAGATACAGACATACAGTACAGTATGGCCAATGTCATATTACTGTACTTCTGTACTCTGGACCACTTCAATTTAATGAGACCAATCAAAGGTCCAAACCTTACTTCTTTGCTTTTATTCTGATGATGATTGATGACCCAAACTGTTCAACATGCACCGCGTCACAGCCGAAACTTCCCCAACCCCCAAACAATGCCACAGACATTTAGCCATTTACTACTCCCAAAAAATATGTCACCAACTCCATTGTCCATTCCTCATTTCCTCCTCCCCTACACCCTTTCTTTCTTCCCTTATCAACTCCTCAAACCTCCATAGCCAAACCCTCAAAGAACCTTCATTTCATCAGCCATGAAGAAGCTTTACAGAAAAGGCACAGTTTTCCCATCTCCACCGCTGGTTTCAGACCAGCTAGCTTTCTTGCCAGCCGCAATCTTCACCCTCACACTAGCCCTCTCCCAGGAAGATAGACAAGTCTTGGCTTATCTCCTATCTTGCCCTTCTGGAAACTTCTCCACCGCTACCCACCACCACCACAAAAACTCATCCTCCGGTAAGGGCGGCGGCGGCGCTCACCATCCGCCGTCCTTCAACTGTTTCTGCTTTAACTGCTACCGGAGTTACTGGGCGAGGTGGGACTCCTCCCCCAACCGTCAACTCATAGATGAGATTATAGAAGCCTATGAAGATGGGTTGCAGAGCAAGAAAGAGAAGAGCAGGAGAGAAAGAAGGAAGAGTAATAAAGGGTCTGTTAGTAGTAGTAGTAGTAGTAGTAGTTCAGGTGAAGTGATGAGAAAGTCTGAGGTGATGATGATGAGTTTGAATAAGGATGATTCCGGTGAGGCAGACGGCGCGGCGGCGGCGGCGCTACCCAGTCACTCCGGCGAGGGAGAGGAGGAGGGAGGTGAAAAAGGGTCAGTGAGGAGGCTTGTGAGTTTTCTTGGAGAGAAGATTTGGAGTGTTTGGAGCTGAAAATTTTGTTGGGAAAAAAAAAAAGGTTGTTAAGAAGGGAATGAAAAAGCTAAGGTTGGTTAACACCTTCACTACTTCTTCTATCTTCTCCTCTCTTTATCTTTTGTATTTCTCTGCTGCAAAATCTGTAAAGTACCCTCTCCCTTCCCAGTGTAAAATATGGCTGGTTTTGAATGAACACCTGAGATTGTTGTTCATACCTTCAACCCCTGTTTGATTGCAGAAGCAAAAGAAATTAATTTCCTGGAATTCTTCAAGTATCTTTGGTAAATCCCCTGTTAACATTGTCAACCAATGACTGATCTGATGATGTTTCTTGCTATGTTTTCTGCATTTCTTTTCAACATATGATCATGAAATCCTCTGTGATTTTCTCTTTCTCTGCTCCATTAAAACTCAAAAAAAAAAAAGACAAACTTATCAGAACATAATCATGGAGCAATGGTTTAGTTTTGTCTCTTAGACTCTACCTAGAAGTTGATGCTGTCCAAATTGTTATTCAATAATGGTGTAAAATGTGACAACATGTACAACTCAATTGGTCATATAATTGAAACTTGTCATAAGATATCACAGATGAATTGAGTTATCATGATTTATCCCTCCACAAATTATCAGGTCAGGCATGGGGCGTCTAGGCGGGCGGTTTTACCAATTGTCACAAGAATACAAGAAAAATTGCAGTTGCTATTTAGGTGAAACTCGTTTGTATTCTTACTAGAAGGTAAATAAATAATTTTGGAGTTAAACTTAAAACTTTATAGTTTTAGAAATGAATTGAATTGGGATGTGGGTGCTGTTCATTCTTGAAATGAACAGTTGTGTGCAGTAAAAAAGGAATTGCCTTTTGTGGGATTAACCCATGTCTTGTCTGTGGGTGAAAGCTGTGAATGAGCAGAAAAGGATTGGATATATTTGTGGATGGATGGGTCTGCCATTTTTGGAGTTTATTCCTGTGAACAGTGTTAGCTTAAAAAGTTAGAATTTGGGCAGTTAAAGTAGTTCAGGCAGAGATAGAGATAGGTAAATATGCCAACTACTGAGTTGAATTCGTTGATTCTGAAACGTGGTAGGCTGCTGGAATATGTCTCAGATAGAAAGATGCCAACTGGGATGATTATCTGAATCAAACGTTAAAATCGATAAAATTTCCATTTCACATTCACTACTGGGGTGACTAAAAGCGCAAAGCCTGCTCCATTAAATAAGACCAGGTGTCTGAACCGGTCTTAATTGTATGACGTATCTTTAAGCCTGTATAATATTTAGATTAATTTTTATTTATACTGAGTCGGTCCAATTAAGAGATAAAGTACTAGTCAAATTGATTTTTTCATACAAAAAAAATTCGAATTCTCAATTTCTCTTAAGAGACGAAAGTATACAGTCATTTACACTAACTAAGCTGATTATTTTCTTATAATTTAACGAGGAAATGTGTCCTTTTTTTTAATCTTCTAAAAGTAATTTAGTTAATTTAAAAGGGTAAAAATGGGTATGATTCGGCGGAAATGGGATACGATTAACGAGGTCGGCAAAAGTAGGGTTCGATTAAAGCGAAAAGACATAAAAACAATGGCCCACCTGCGGACCCGACACCCAAAAACCCTTTTCTTATTCCCTTATGTTTCAACAGAATCTTTACATTATTATTTAGTATACTATGCTCCATGCATTTCACTCATTAAAGTAAATTTGGGCATTGCTTCATGTCTATTTCTTCAATTATTGCTTCATTTTTCTTTGTGTGATGTCTAAAAATTTGGTAGTACAAATCTACTCTTATATCTAAATGTTACAAATTTTATTTTAGTTCAATTATTGTTAATGGTAACTTTTCTAGTAGTTTAAAAAATCTTGAGCCTATCTTCAAAGATTTATCCAACAACAGTTTGATAAATATCCTACATCTACAAACCCCGTTCATGTTGAACTGTTGAAGGGGGACATTAAAGACACATATTTTTAAAATGGAATTTAAAAAAAAAAAAAAAAAAAAAAAAAAGCTTTTTGAATAGAAACACATATATCAAACCGGCCCTCAATAGTTTATATAAATTCTAACGTAATACCAAATAATATTTTATGTAGTGGTTACAAATTTATATCTCTTATGTGATTTGCAAGTATTCTTCTATTGTGAGATGTAACAACGCCACATTGGTAAGAGGGTCAAGATCATATCAGAGACTCCACTCTTGTAAATGATATGAAATGTTAAAAAGTTTTTGATTACACATTTTCAATACCTGCTCTGTTATATACACACAAAATTACAAATATAGAAATCGTTAGTTGTGGATGATTTAATTTACTTTAATAATTCGATACAGACGTGACATGTAACAATTAAATTCTTACTAAATTATCTAACTGCATTTAAACTAATAGGTGGGTAGATGAAAGTGTCAAATTAAGTATACTCCATTAATGTTAATCAACATAATTTGTTGGCATGCAAATCACAATTAAGTCTGAAGTTGATGCAACTACTACTACTTGGCATTTTGCTGCCACCATAATCTAAAGATCTGAAAATGACTGATGACTTTTCAGTGCTTCTTGGCGAAGGAAACTGATATATGCAAACTTGTGTACTTGGGCGGGCAGAAATGTATTTTTTAAAATCAATTTTTTATTTTTGGGTGAGGCAACTAATTGATGGGGTATTGGGTAAATTCGGCTCGTGTGTAATATTTTGTAAACTACATAGGAAATATGAATTGCACTAAAAAGATTATAGGCCCTGTTTGGTAAATGACTGTTAATTGTTAACTGATTGAGTTAATTAGATGGTATAACTAGTTGATAACATTAGATGATTGTAAAAAGATGTTTGGTAAATTAGATGTTAGCGGATAGCTGTTTGGTATAATTTTTTTTTCTCAAAAAGCTAATTGAAAAAAGTTGTTTTGAATAATTTTTTGAATTTTAGCATTTTGGGGTATAAAAAGTTAATTAATCAAACACTTATATTGATTTTTAAACCAAGTCAAATAACTAATAGTGGTCAAATAAGTCAAAATTGACTTATAGGCTAACTATTTTACCAAACAGGGCCATATGCGATAATTTCAATCGAGAGAATATTAACAAACATCGGACACGTGACCTTTCTGGTATGAAAGTGATGTTTTACTCACTTAGAGACCTTTTGGGTGTAAGATTTTTAAATTATATTTGTTGATATGAGTGGGGGTCAATTTCTTCTAAAGTCCACATTAATGTATTTTTGAATATATTGAAAAGCATATGTCATATGTGAAAGCCCAACCTTGATTGATATGTACCAAAGTGTGTCATGTATATCAATATGACAATATCTCTCTAATCAAAAGGTGATATGTGGGAATGAGAAAAGGTCACATGAAAGTTGTTTCATATATCTTATTATGATGTTTATTTTGTAAGTGAAAATATTTTAGTCATTAAATTGCTGAAAACATTTTTAAAAAATAGTAAACTATTCAAAAATTCATCATTACTATTTTTTTTGTTTGACATGGTAGTGCCCAAGTAAAAGGTTTGAAATCTTTATTTTATATACATTTGTGTATAAAACCTCAAAGATGATTGTATTCTTTAATATTTTTTATTTATGTTTTTTTTTTTTTTTTTTGTGCATCTATCTCAAACAAATTTTATTTTCATACATTTGGATGGATAACCTTTTACAACACTCTCCTTAGAGTAAATATTTGATTTAAACATTAGGTTGTAAGTAATCCCTATGAACTTCAAACTAACTTAATATCTTTGTCTTTACATTACATCAAAAATTAAAAAAAAAAATACAAAAACAAAAACTCTCGAGCTACTTAAAATAAGTTCATAAGTTTTGATTTGTTATCAGTCGTAAAGTGCGTGCATGATTTGAATCATATCAAAGACAAATAAACAAGTATTTAAGAGTTTGTAAGTCACTTAAATCACATCTCACGAGTTGCGACTTACCCCATCTGCTAGCGTTGATGAGTCAAAGTTTAGGGTCCAAAAATAATTATTCATTATTATCATTTTTTTCCCAATTTTATTGTGGATAAATAAAGGTTAGATAATATAAGATGCATGTTTTACACAAATATTTGTATGCAAGAAAGTTCTCACTAGCGTTAAAAAAAGTACAATTCAATATTTTTTTTTTCATACAAATCTTTTTGTATATAATTGAACAAATTTAAAGTCATAAAACTTGGTTATAAAATTTTATTTTTTATTTTTTAAAAAGAGTTAACTGTACTCTAGTATAGGCACATGAATCTTTTCTTTAATTTATGGCTTAAAAGTAACGCAGTGAACTGAATGATTCTCTTCAACTGCATATGCCTCAACTTTATTATATACTAAGAATGTTGAAAAATTATTGCATACATTTTTTTGGCTCAAATAGTCAAGTAAGCATCATTATCACCACATTTAAAAATTATTTTTCATAAAAAACTTACAAAGAAAAATTTTAACAATTACGTACCACTTACGACTTATAAATGTGACTGAGCTAAAGTTTGGTGTTGGGTCTGCTTGGAATATATGTGACAGTCAACTAACTGTCCAACAGTACTAAAATTAAGTCTTTTTTTTTTTGTTTTTTCAAAATGTCTCCTGCTAAGTCACACTGTACTTTGACCTTGGGACACTTTTGGTGTGTAGATTTGAATTTGAACCGACTATGTAATATTTAAATTGTTTAATCTTATATGTGATAATGTGTATTAGGTAAATTTCAATTCTATGTAATAGTTTAAAATTACACAAGATAAATTTATCGCGGATTTAGACTAAAAAAATATTAAAAAGAATTAAATTTGTGACATTCAAGTATAAAAATCATATTCTGTCTATTTGTCCATCATTTTAGGAAGGGCTTCATCGTATTTGTTGAGGGAGTAAGAGCAACCTGAACAAGCCTATTAATATAAATTTTCACAACCTGAACAACCTTCATCGTATCATGTTCTGTCTAATGTGCATTTTTTTTTAAATTAAAAAATTAAATTAAT